GTGGATTATTTGAAATCTAAATACCGTATGTCGGCGTAAGAATATTAACACCCTTTTTTTTTTTTTTTTTTTAACATGGGGAAATGCCTACGCATACCCGCCTCGCGGGGGCAAGGACGGGTTATGTCGGACTCGCACCGACTAAAACCCCATGGTGTTCCACCTTCGTCGCATATTGGCAGGGCTACGGGAACGCTTTCGCACACATCCGCGGCCCCACCAGCGACTGCCGCACCATGGCAGCACCTCATCGGGAGAGGAATATTCCTCCCCGTTCTCCTTTCCAAGTAAGGCGCACCAGAACACATGGCACGCCTTCCTCCACGGCCTCCAATTACATCTGCGCAACAGACGCCCCCGCATCCGATGCGCGAAGGCCATGGGGCCAGGAAAAACGAGCACTTAGAAGTACTAGCCTTCCCGACCCCAGCGGCGGATCTGGTCTATGGCTCCGCCGCCAACCAAGATTCGGCTGCGGAGGATAGGGAGAGCGGCGCCTCGCAATACCGACAATCCTCTCCCCCCGCAGCCCCATCACCACCGCATCAACGGTGCGGCCCCGTTTGAGTCGCGGAGGATAGGGCGAGTGGCGCATCGCCATACCAACACTCCTCTTCCTCCGCGACTCCACCTCGGCTGCAGCGGTAGGTGGGGAGGACACACCTCTCACCGCAGCCCACCAACACACATCCGAAGTGGGCTTCCCAAGCCCACTCGGAGTGGCCACCTCGGGCCGGCCCTCCACCTCGGACCAGCCATATGGGTTCCTCTTTGTTTCGCCGTGGGTGACCAAGCCACGGCTTCTAAGCCCCCCCGCCACGACAAGGCGGGAACCCGTTCGGGGGGAAGAATATTAACACCCTTAGTTTTTCCTATGGGTGTTGTATAAGGCGACTATGGGAAATGCCAGAAAAAGTTAAAGGCTTCCGATAGGTATAACAAGATAGTAAACGCTAAAGAGAGTGTGGTTTGAAAGATGGTGTTGTGACCAGGATTAAAAAAGGAATGCTTCGGTGGTTTGGTCGTGTAGAAAGAATGAATGAGGAAAGAGTGACAAAGCAAATGACATCATCGGGATTTCATACATTTTTGGTCCAAATATGAAAGTGCCGGCCAATAAAAAAATATGCTGTATTCCGTTAGAACTTGTCCCCCTGAGTATTTATTATTATGACACCAAAGCTGTAGGGTCATTGTCCTTGGTTTTATTGGAGTTCAAAAATTCAACATCTTCATACATTTTCAGTGAATTTAATAAACAAAAACAAATGATTTGTTCTACCATATTTTTATTTTGAACATCGTTTAGTAAAATATATTGGTTCTTGACCTATTTTGGACATGTTGATCTTGTTTTGTGTTTATGAGGATTATAAGTAAAATATGTATACAGGGGTTATTTTGTTTAATTAAACACTATAAAATCATCATCGTCTGGTACAACAATAATGTTCTCCAATCCATAAGCTGGAGGGGTTATTGCTGGCAAATGTCGTGCATGGCTCATGTACCATATAATGCACATAATATGGGAGCAGCATCCAATTGTTCGCTTTCCTTGATGCACGAACAATAATAGTGAGCGATTGCTTGTCGGCCTGATAACGACCTATCGATTATAATGTAGACATAATACTGTCTTGCTCTAACATGCCGCGATTGCAGTCGGCCTCTTATCATCCATAAATCATTACCCTGCAATTCCGCCAAGTCTTCATTTGATAACTCATTGCTGAGCTCAATAGCTCAATAGCTTTTGGCCTGTTTTAGTTGATAAACGCCCAGAGCGAATAATAATAATTCGTTCTCATCCATTCTTGGAAAATCTACAAACTCTGGCATATCTGCAGTCATTAAAGTAAACTGAGCACGTCTGCGATTGTAGTTATGGCGTATTACAAGATCTGCCAATCTATTTTGCATATTAATTCTTTGGTGGATAATCTCTAAAATCGCAGCAGCATTTGGATTATCTTCAATCAAAACATGAAAACGATTTATCATCGCCGCTGCTATCTTGAAATAGTCGAACATGCTGGGAAGAGCTCTGTTATTATATACATTTCGCAACAGGCGAAAATCTCTTTTGAACCTGCCGTTGACCACTTCAACCACCCAACGACAGATTGTTACCAGTCTGGACTTATTGGCCTGATCCGTGGTTAGCTGTGTCTCATTTGGATACTTTGTTTGAGGCATATGTTGTACATATCCGCAAGATTCCAGTTTTCTTGCTGAGTCTCGAAAACCACGGTCCGGAATAAAAACATCGCCACTCCTATAAAATCAGTGGAAGGCACTGTCAGCATTATTAAGCATATCATTCATTATATCTGCGTCAGACGTGGTGGCAGCATATGGTCCGTTAACTTCGATAATGTGTCCATCACAAGAAACCAAGGGGAACGGTTTTAGGAGGTTTCTGTATTTGTGATGGCTGTAAGACGCGTTGGAAAAAATAATTTCCACTTTTTTGCAGATAGATGTACGTGCCATCACAAATCGTGATAGCTTTCCTTTCATCTTCTGGGCTCGATGGGTTCCCAAACAGATTGTTGGGTAGAAAAAGATTCCTGTGTGCTACATCCTCACGGGAAATATGGTCAAACCCAACATTTAAGGGCACAAAATCTTCTAACAGAGCGTTGCGTCCGATTTTTAACCACGTATGAAACGCTGTTTCGCTACATTTAAAAATATTAGCAAGCCGCGCGTTCGAGTCACCTGTTCTTAACTTGACTAATACTGCCGCCAGTACGGTTCTTTTATTCTTTTTAGTTCTCAGACTTGGTAAACTGTCTAATAATTCAGTAAACTGATCTTGAAGTCCTGTCCAAGTATGAAACTCGGCTGGTGCTATATTTTCATACTGCTCAAAATCAAGTATTTCCTCCGTAATATGTCTTTGTAACATCGACACGATAGTCATTATTTGAGCTGCAGTGAATTCCTCAGAAGAGTTGTCTTGTACAGGAAGTAAATGCCACAGATTTTGCTCCACGTGTTCATTACAGACACGCGCGCTTTCTGGCACGAAATAGCTGTAGCGGCATACCATGCGAAAAATTATGTTCTCTGGAACACGACGGCGAGATTCATACGTACAATGTGGGAAAATGCAACTATTTGCTGTGTTTGGAGCACGAAGAGACCTGGCAAAATCAGCGAAATTGGTCTTGAATTTGGAACTTCCGATGGATCACGGTCTTGATCAGCTTGCTGTTCAGCCTCCCGAATAAGTCGCTGGTGCGTTCGTTTCGTTCTTTGCCAACAGGGTCGACAAATGAACGCAGTAGGCTCCAACTGTCTATATCTTCTATCACTATTTGGGCGATATCAAGATATTGCATTTCTCTGGAAACCCAATCATATCTTCGCCGATTCTCTGTCGATGCACGGCACGCGATACACAACTCTGCCATGACTCGCAGCAATGTTCAAACTTAACAATGGAGATAACAAAAACAAAACAAATCAAAGCACAAGAACTAGTGGGCATCACACAGACATACACGGCAGCGTTGCTTTCGGTACTAAACAATAAACGCGAATGCTAGCAAACGAATGAGCCTGGCGCGATGGCGGTAGTTCGCGGGAAAGAGAGGGGCATCTGCTCGCTGCACCGTATTCCATTGTTCGCGAGTTGAGTGTTTACCTGCGCGGCCATTGTTATTGCCATTTTGTGGGAAAAAGTCCCGGCATCCCAGCCGATTATGCAGTATTATTAGTGGTTTAAATGTTATCTCGTCAGAAATAGGTCAAGAACCAATATATTTTTTTACTAAACGATGTTCAAAATAAAAATATGGTAGAACAAATCATTTGTTTTTGTTTATTAAATTCACTGAAAATGTATGAAGATGTTGAATTTTTGAACTCCAATAAAACCAAGGACAATGACCCTACAGCTTTGGTGTCATATAATAAATACTCAGGGGGACAAGTTCTAACGGAATACAGCATATTTTTTTATTGGCCGGCACTTTCATATTTGGACCAAAAAAGATGATGTCCTTTATGTTACAGAGTTGAAAAGGGGCGTCCTAGGCGAAATTTTATTGACCAAATTGGCAATATATTGAAAATGGGCCAAACTAGAAGTACCATGTATGCGTAGGTATATGGATGTGGAGGAGGCGAGAGAGGTGTGTCAGGAATCAGGATCGTGCCAAATGAAAGTTTGTAGTCTCTGCCTACTCTGGGTGACAGGCGTGAGTGTTTATGTTATGTTATTTATATAACGCTAAACTAAAACGGCTGCCCCGACTGGCGACGGCGAAGGTGCGAGACCTGCTGATAAACAAATAATCGATAAAATTAGGTTTAAGGGCTCCTTTCTGGGACCGCTTGTGTAGGGTAAGTTTCAGTTTATACAAAGGTCAACAAAGGTACTCTGTGGTAACACCCCTTGCCTATTATATAGTGTTACCACGTAACATTATCCACTACTGTGTTCCGGTTTGCAAGGTAAAATTACGGGCTGTGGGGTATTTCAGTACAGATGAATTGCAATAGTCGCTCATCGTCAGTGTACGTAAATCTCGTTTGTTGTCCTACAATGTTATCTAAAGATATTCGTTAAGAGTACTTGCCTTGTTCTAAATTGGACAACAAGCGTTGTTTCTACAGCAGGGATGTCGACATCGAAGAAGACGGAAAAATAGCAGGTCCGTAGAAAAATCGCATTTATATAGTATGTAGCACACTTAGGTGTTCCCGCGTATTTCTATGTAGCATTACGTAAAAAGCATAAAACCTAGTCCCTTATATATTAAAATATTTCAAAACATGTACATGTGCAAATGTGGGAATGTCCCTAGTGAAATGGAACGTAACATGGTATAAAGGTCATGTTTTGTTGTTGTGATTGCCTTGTCGGTGTAGTTTAGATTTACATTTTTCAGTCGATTTATGAAAAAAAATGAATGAAAGCGACGAAGATATAAACCAGAATTTAGTAAACGAAAAAGAGATGAAGAATACGTGATGTCATGAAAAAAATGAGACTAGCTACCCACGAGTCAGGTGAGGATTGTAGGTGTTCAAGACTTAAGTGTTTTGAAAGAATAAATCGTGTTGTTAAATTGTTAAGAAAATTTAATAGCTTGAAGTCTTACAGATGAGCAAAATATATTCTTATGTGGATTAATAAATGTTTGTTCAATAAAAAGGCGTAGTAGGAAAAATGAAATGGATGCCAATTTTCATCAAAACTTTTTCATTTACGAAGTACGTGTAAAAGAAGATGATCAGATGCAAGAAGTACCTACCTGTATACTACAAGGCTTTTTTAATCTATTTTTGGTATAACTAAATGAAAAATTGAACACCTACAAGTACTTGAAAGAGACAGGTAAGTATCACACAAAAAATTGGATATGAATACAAAACAATTAATATGTATGTTTTGTACGTGGTGGAGCCACGCTGCAGCTAAATTATAGTTGTAGCACAAATGGGTCGGCTCAACCGGGGCAGGACCACGTTCTCACAGAATACCAGCGTAAAATAGCAGCGTAATGCTCTATGATGAGAGATGAGATATCTATGGGCCACAGCATACACTTACCATCAGGTGGACTGTGTGCTCGTTTGTCACCCAATGCTATAAAAAAAACTCATATAAAATCATTTAAAGGAAGGCAAAGTCTACATACTACAGTATGAAATATATCAAGAAAGAATACTTACCTGATGACTTAAATATTAAATAAATGCATAAGTTACATTTGGATGCATACCCTGAGAATAATGTTTCCTGTGATACGTACAGGAACAAATTTAACACTGAATTTAACATATCATTTGGTTATCCCCGCACCGATACTTGTAGTGCCTGTGATGAATTTAAAATTCTTAACAATTTCCATAAGAAAAAAGCTCAAACGTTTTATGATTTGAGTTTCAGGCTATTGCTATGGAGTATGGACTACCAAAAAATATGCCACTAGCTAACATTACTACAAATGATGTCTATTACTAACGACAGTTATCAATGTATTCATTTAACTTACATATTTTAAGTGATGCTAGTTCCTTTTTAGAGACTTGTTGACAAGGGTTCAGAAGAAGTGGTTTTATTTTTATTTCACTACTAGCTGGTGCTCGCGACTTCGTCTGGGCAGGATTAGTATTTCGAGTAGCTTATATTAACGTGGCGTAGAAAAGAACTAATATTATATCATTAAAATTATCATATAAATAATTTTTGGGTCCAGTAGACCCCACCTCATGCGCCGTGCTTCGGACCGCCCGCCCTGCTCCCCGCACCGTTCGCCCGCCACCGCCGGCAGCGCCGTGCCATATGTATTAACTCTAGCGGTTTTGGCAGCGCACGCCAGAACAGCTCCCAGTTGGTAGATTTTTTCCTACTTACTTGACACTTCGTCATATTTTGGACAATTCACTCAATATCTTTATGAATTGTATCCTATGTATTATTCTGATGTATAATCTATATTATTGTAGTTTCATTAAAATCCATTCAGTAGTTTTTACGTGAAAGAGTAACAAACATCCATCCATCCATCCGTCCATACTTATAAACTTTTGCGTTTATAATATTAGTAGGATTTAAAAACCAGAACTATACTGCAACAAGGTTCATTCTTTTAGTGGTCCATATCATAATGGAAAATTTTAACTACATTAAAATAACATACCCCATCAGAGGACATTCATATTTATAATGTGACAAGAATATTTGCCTGATCAAATTAAAAACTCACATGGAAGTCCCATATCATAGTATGACTTGCTAGAAATAAGTCGCCAAAAACCCAAACCCTTTTGAAGTTAATCAAGTGGGAAAGGGTAAAAATATAAGGAAATTTACAAATTTTTCAGAAGCAGTACGAAAAATTGCTCTTTTCCAATACAGGCCCAAACAGAAACAATAAATGTGCAAGAATATCCAAGGTTCGTTCTTCATTGAGGCAAATATAATGGTTTGTAGAAGTCACTCATATTGAACAAGAGAAGAGCGCATAAACAGGAATGTAGCAATGAATTTGAATTGCCTGGGTTTGCTTACCAATATTACTTGCCAATCAGTGCAGATTTAAAATGATTTTGTCCTGTTAAAGCACAAGCCTAGTTTGAAGGCATTACCGCTACATAGTACTAGATTTGGACATTCCCTGTATGGGTTTACAGGACATTCCATGTTTTAGTACTTTATAAAAGTTACTTTATTTTTTCAAATTTTACACATTTGTTAATATTTGCCAAAAGCTTATTCGTATCCACAGCTGATCTCTGTAAGGTAAACTAAAGTTCCTATTAGTAGTTTCTAAACACTTTATATGTTTGTCTTACATATTAATTGTTTAGAAACTAACTAGTTATATACTTTCAAACTTAAAATGTTAATTAGGCCCGGTTTCCACCAAAGCAGAGAGGAGACGAGACGAGAGATGTGCCGCAAAGCTGGCAGGTTATTTCCACCAAAGCGGAGAGGAGAAGTGTAGTGGAAAGACGTGAGCTTTGTATAGCAAAGATGTGAGTTGTGAGAATTAGGGATGGAATATTGATTTCACCGAATACGAATATTTGGTAAGACTTTTACACAACGTTATTCCAGAACATTATTCGGCAGGATAACCTCGGGACCCAAACAATTTATGTCGAAAGTTGTTATCGTAAAGCACGCGGGATTAGCGCCGGACCCTGCCTCTCGCTCCCCGCCACACCTCACAGTTATTCATCATCTAGTACTGAGCAAATTGCCGGCACATGCTTATGTTTTGACTATTCTTGTGATAAAAAAAGTATTTCCATGTTTTATTCTTAGTGAAAATTTATAATTATATGATAAAAATAGGCGGCAGGAGATTTACTATTTGGACTTATTTTAGAGAAACTGACGACCAAAGTAAAGTGAAATGTACTAATGTAAGTATGTAATGTAATGTTTCTTTGTTTGATTCCAAAAACATTTCATCAAGTTTTTATTTGCTATAATCGGAAATGAACCTACAGTGCCTCAAAAGCATAAATGTATAGATTTATGCACTTGAGGCACTCTAGAGTAAATAGATATAACCCATAAATAAAATATACTTTCAACAGTAAAAGACATCGCATTACTCAATTCGTACATTTCAATATATTGGACACTATGAAAACGAATATTCGGTGATTTAGCCGAATATTCGGCCGAATACGAATATTCGGTAAAGTTGCCGAATACCGAATATAAAACGAATATTCGGCCCATCTCTAATCTAAACCAATATTTTTTGGCTTAACGTGAGTACCTCGCTGTTCTTTAGACTCTGCCCACCACCTCAGGCAGTAGTGTTTAAACAAACTTTTTTAAAGCGTGAACGAAAACCAAAAAATTGTAGCCTCCGCCACAAGCGTACCTATAATATACAGTTCAGTTACCAGAAGCAGCGCATAATGCGTGTGCGCATGATAACTACCGCAAACTTAAGATAGGAATTAGAGAATTTTGATTATAAAAGGTATACCTCAAAACCTGAAAACTAAGCTGTACAACCAGTGCGTGTTGCCAGTGAGTGGGGGACGCTCAAAGTCGCTCAGCTAGCAATGGAGAGTTATGCTGGGGATTTCTCTGCATGATAGACTTTAGAAAAACTTTAGAAAAAGGATATCTGCAGTAGAACCAGAGTGACTGACATAGCACAACGGATTAGTAAGCTGAAGTGGCAATGGGCCGGCCATTTAGCTCGAAGAACCGACAACCGCTGGGAAAAAAAGGTTCTCGAGTGGCAGCCTCGTACCGGTAGACGTAGTGTAGGGCGACCTCCCACTAGATGGAGTGACGACCTGGTAAGATATGCAGGAAGTCGATGGATGCAGGAGGCTCATGACCGAGCTTTTAGACCGAGAGCTGGTGACAGGTGACGTTCCACGATTTTGTCGTGCATGCCTTTTTAAGGCTTGATAACTAACCCTAAAATATCAAAGATTGTCGGAGCTTTAGCCCCCCGCGCGTCCTCTTCATAAGGAAAAGCGCTTTTCTTCGTGCAGCGAATTTTCGTGTTTTTCCGTGATAGTATACTGCATGCCATTGTAATATACGGAAGTTCAAGCAAATTGAAGCTCTAATAATTGATGGCATGCACCCCGCAGCGGCCCAAGATGATCAAAGGTTTCTGAAAACCTGAAAAAAAAATACGTGTGGCACTCGGTGACTGCCGCGGTAATTCGCGATAATGGCATTACCCATACATAGTACTAGATTTGGACATTCCATGTTTTAGTACTTTATAAAAGTTACTTTATTTTTTCAAATTTTACACATTTGTTAATATTCGCCAAAAGCTTATTCGTATCCACAGCTGATCTCTGTAAGGTAAACTAAAGTTCCTATTAGTAGTTTCTAAACACTTTATATGTTTGTCTTACATATTAATTGTTTAGAAACTAACTACTTATATACTTTCAAACATTAAAATGTTAATTAGGCCCGGTTTCCACCAAAGCAGAGAGGAGAGAGAGATACATATTTCCTAAAGAAAATATCTCCACAATTAATTTGATGTAAAATAACATTAGAAATAACGTATAAAAATGGAGAAATTATCAAATTTTTGATCGAGTTCCTAACCAGTACACAAACAAAAATGGCGAATGGTCATTTTCACATTTTTTTAGAAATAACGTATGAAAACAGAAAAATGATCAAATTTTTGATCGAGTTCCTAACCAGTACACAAACAAAAATGGCGAAATGTCATTTTCACATTTTTTTTTCTATATAGTTATTTGTTACAGAGTACACAGATAAAATTCACTCTCATAGATGACAAATTTCAAACACCACAATCTCAAATTTTTTACTCTGCTATTGTTACGGCCTCTAGTTACCCGGGCAAAGGTCGTAGAACCCGGGCCCACCAGGGGTTCAACTCGACGAGTAACAGGAGGTCGGCCTAAATGGCTTGTGGAATATGAGACAATAGCGGTTAAAAAGGAACCAAACAAGATTTTTCAGGTGTAAGTGTATGTGTGTGATAGTGTTACGGTCAGTACGTGTTATATTATGTAACCTGACTTCCCGCTGGTTGCCGAACAGCAGATCCCAAGGCTTCACCTCTATTCCAGTATGGGATCCATCGAAGGGGCAAGCCGTCACAGAAACTTCAGAGTCTAGGAAATTACGCTCGTTTATCACTCATTAATTATAGTTAAGTCAATTGTCATTAGGTTAATCCAATCAAATTCAACCATATTTAACCGAACCCGCGTTATAACGAACTCACTATTTGTGAAAAATACTGTATCACCGGACCGCGTCGCAAAAAACTCAGGTTCGCGCTGTACATACGTCAGGGCGGCCGTACGGCAATTATATTAACAAGATGGGCAACTACTCAGTTCCACGCTCCACGGCAATATTTGTCACTTATTATTTATTGTCCAATTAATTGTCTTTAAATTCAAATGGCACGCTCTATTAACATAAGTCTAAGACAAAACAAGGAGACTTTCAATATATGAACAACCCGGCTTCGCGCAAAAACTCTCGCGACCCCTATAATGCGACCGGAGAACGTCATCGGCGCAGGCGCCGCGTGCCTAGCTAGGAGCGCGCCCTAGCGGCGGGCCGGGTGCAGCCCGGCCCCGCCGTCTGCTCCCTAGCTCGGCTCGATGCCAACAGGGGTGACCGACCGCGCGCACAAATGCAGCTAGCCTCCCCCTCCCGCACCTCACTAATCGTCGCTTCACACCGCTTGAGATAAGACGATCTACTATCAGGCGCTAACAAACCCCCGTCCCGGACATAAGGACCTATGTCCGCGAGTAAATTGGCAATTAGAAGACGCTTTGTATTGTTGGTTTTTACAAAAACGATCAACTGGGCAAATGATATCTGGCCCTTTGCTTTGTGAAAAAGCATTACAGTTAAATAAAAAATTAGGTGACGGCGGCTCGTTTGTCGCAAGTAACGGATGGTTATATAGATTTATATCTCTTCATGGAATTTAATCAATGTTTATTAAAAAATAATAATTTCTTAATAAACATTGATTTTCGTTGAAATTGTTGTTTTTAATAAACACATAACATTATGTATGTACATATGTACTACAAATGCACAAAACCCGCTTTTCTTCATACATACGATCATCCGGATTTTCGATTATCCGAATCCCTAACGGCAACAATTAGTCCGGTTAATCGAGTATATATTATACATATTGAGAATCTAAATTGAGAATTTAATCTATAGCACATTTAAAATATAGTCCACCTAGCAACACGATGCGCCCCGCACTGAATTCGTGGACGAATGCGGGGGTGATATTGACGCAGTATTTAATCGGGACGCATTTTTAATTTATTATCATAAAAATAATACATAGTTTCTAAAAAGTAACCAAACCAAATTATTTTATTTTGTATTACAAAGCAGTAGATATTTTTTTTATATTCCTTTGATAAACAATGAAGGAGTAAAGTGGTTTCATCTCAACGATTTGGAGGTGATTTGGGTATTTTTTTATTTATTATGTGACACCGATAGAAAAATTATGGCTAAACCAAATTACGTATCAGATCATGTAGATTACTAGCTATTTTTTTTCATATGTAATTTCTCTGTAAGTGTCGACGAAAAGTTGCTTCATCTGTACGCTTTTTTCAAGCTTTTTTGCGAGAGAGCAGCCTTAATAATAAATGCACTTTGTTCATTCATATTCAAAATTTCAAAACACTTTATACACAAACACCGTGTCGAAGACTGAGGAAAAGAAACGACGTTAGACCATCGTTAGACAATGCACGGCCTTCAAGCCACACCTCCGTGCCCGTCGGAGAGCGTGAGGTTTTTTTCGTTACGAAATTTCTGGATTTTCCCGCACTCAAGGCCCGCGATAGAAGATATGCAATAGCTTAAATATTAAAACTGTATTCTTTGGAGTAAACAGGATACTTAGATTACATAAATAATTATTGAATAAATGAAAAGTTAATATTGTTTAAAATATTTTTAATATCTTACAATACATGTAGGTTATTCAGGAATTTTTATCATTGAGTTAGCAGCTAGTGTACACGCATACGTCTAGTCGCACGCACACAAACACCGTGCCGAAGTCTTGCCGAGTGCCGAAGTCTGCCGAACTGAAACGACTTTAGACGATGCACGGCCTTCAAGCCACACCTCCGTGCCCGTCGGAGTGGGGAGCGTGAGGTTTTTTCGTTACGGCGGAATAAATTTCTGGATTCGGTCCCCACGCTCAAGGCCCGCGATAGAAGCTATGCAATAGCTTAAAAATTAAAGGGCAATTCCGTGTTTTCAAATTGCATGCCGATATAAAGAATGGAAGTTTTTGTAACAAAAACACTCTGGCAAAATTGGCATGCACCCCTCGTATGACCAACGGTGGAAAATTTCCGGAAAACTCTGTAAAAATTGAACTCCGATTTTCCGTGATTCCAAACTGCATGCCATTGAAAGTATACTTAATTTGTACTTAATAGTAGGAAATTTGGCATGCACACCAGGATGTTGCAAAATAGAGGCATGCATGGCGAAAGTTGCAGAAAACACTGTGCAAATTTCGGTGACTTGTCTTTGCATGCCGTTTTGTATTTCATGAATTTACATTATTTCAAGTCATGAACGTAAATGGCATGCATGTAGCTACAGCCCCAACATACCAAAATTGTGGAAGAATTGAATAAACATCAATTTTTCAATTGAAACAAAAAACTGAAAAATGCCGTGACTTCTTCTTGCATGCTGCTTTGTATCGTGTTAGTAGATACTATTTTAATCCGAAATGCGAAATGGCATGCATGTAGCTTCATGAAAATTGTTTAAATAAACAAAAAAACGAGGTTTAGTATTTTATTAGAGTAAGATAAGTTATATATAAAATTAATATTAACAAAATTTATTTTAATATAATTATAGGATTATTGATAAGCTGCATTTTTCTCATTGCATCAATCAATGTTGATAAAAATAATTTTTGGAGCTCATTTTCGAATTTGAAAACCCCGCGAATCTAAAAGTATTGTTGAAATTGTTATTAATAATTGAATATAATTTGATAAAATCAGAAAGCACTGAAAATAAGTTGCTATCGAATTTTATAAGACTTTTATGTGAAAAAAACTTAAATCAGTTTTGAAGTTCGAATTTCGCGCTCAAGTTCCGCATTTTCGGGACGCCCATGTAAATTCACCCTTGTACGTCGACAGCGCGAGAGGTCGCTACTACCCTAGTAGACGCAACAGCTACACCATTACCTATACATTTTTCGTCTCAGTGTACATGTCGAAACGCAAGTGATAACATGTAACAGAATCAATATTGAACTTATAATTTCCAGTCTTCACAGTGTATATTAATAGTTGTAACTGTATATTAAAAGTGTACTTAATAGTGAAAATTTATAAGATAGCCAGTACATGTATACGTGCCCTCTTCATCATACATTTCTGTCTAATCCGGTGTATTTATATATCCGGTGTAAGTACAGTAATATGTCACATGGCGTCAACCGACAATTGTGGCTTGTTTTGTTTGCAGGTTACGAAAGTATTGTTATTTTTAGTTTGCTTGTGTGCGTGCGTGCGTGCGTGCGTGCGTGGGTGGGTGGGTGTGTGCGTATGTGTGTATGGGTTTGTGGAAAAATAATAACGAATATATATATATATATATATATATATATATATATATATATATATTGCAACGGCCGAAAATTTGGAAATTTTCCATTCTAGATCGCGTAATCATATTGATACGGAATTATAGTAAAATCTTTCCTTATACCCAACGCACGCATAGAACCACTCGCGAACAGCTGGACTCTTCGGAGCGTTTAGACCACGGTCCACGGACCACGGTCGTATACACGTTATTTTGCAATTGAATAATATTTATTTCTGAATGATTAACAAGAATATCTTGGTGTTCACCTCTAAAAATGGTGCCGTTATTAGTTATTAAGAAAAGTCTCAAAAGTATACTTGCGAGAAGGATTATGTTAATTATTGGTAAAAATGCGAATTTTGAGAAAAAAGTACAAGGATGCAAAATCATGCAAATAATATTAATGATCAATTTGCTATTTAAATTTTTTTTCTAAAGTTGGTACTTTTTAAGATATCACTGAAAAACCACATTTTTGCGGTTACTTTTGTACACCATTTATCGAGGTGAACACCAAGATATTCTTATTGTGTGATATACCAATAACAATATTGCAACGAATTTTTGACAGACTTTTAAAAAGGTGTCTATAATTAATTATTAAAATCTTTAATTATTTAATTGAATAAAAATTTAAATTATTATTTAATTTAATTTTTTAAATCTGAATAAATCTGGCGTTAAAGTGTGAGGTATTCGCAGGAAATTTCAAAGTCATAAGTTATGATATATGTGAGTATCTCTTTCGGCATTGCTTTCAAGCCTACTGAAGAAAGTTTTTTTACTTGAACTGTTATTTACTACTTATGTCTCAAGAAGAATATTTACTAAGATTTAGGTAACCCCTCTATAATATTATTTTTTAGTAGGGATGATATGATATGTTTAAATTTCTAGCTCAAAAAGTAAAAATTTCGATTTAACATTTTCTCAAAATTAGATTGCACATTTTCTCAAAAGCAATAAATAATTTCTTTGAATACAAAAAATAACAAACAAGTTGTTATGAATCTTCATCACTTACACTCACAGCAAATCGACATTGACAATTGAACTAATATTTTATATTTTTTTGAAGATTAATATTAAAAATTAAACTTAACAATTCCTACCAATAAGGCAATATTTCCATTAATTCAGTTATTGAATAATTCATACTTCCGAATAAATAAAAAATATGAATTTTAAGTAAATGTATGTTTAAGAGGCGGTCGGAGGTAAAAATACTGTTTTTCAAGGATCATTGTTCTTCTTAAAAAACCTTTTAATGAAAAACCGGCTCTGTACCCCCTAGTGTTACGTGTGATGAATGAATCATTTAGGTTTTGTTTTTTAATTCTCTAATTACAAAATGCAAAAGGGGGGGCGGACACCAACCGCGCCTTAAGATGGCTGTCTGGTTTAATTTCAAAATTTTTAAAAATGTAGTATTTGAAAAAATAATATTTGATAATTAATTTTGTAAAAATTATAAACAATTTTTACGTATAAAAATGTATAAAATAACTATATTTAACCATGCGTATAGAGAATTTTTTTGATTTTCATGAAATTTTCAGGATACACCCTCGTAAGCATTTTGAAAGAAACTGCTCTCTGACATTTTATAATTATTGATTAACTTATCAATAATTTAAGGAATTTAAATGAGTTCGTTATTATTTTTCCAAATACTTTTATAAAACAACTAGTTGAAATTTTTAATATAATTATTTACTTAAATTTGTATTTCAATTTGTAATAAAATTTTTATTCAAGTTTTTACTTACATTTCAATTAATTTTTTTTTTGGTAGATAATATTTTTTATTGAGAGCTGTTTTTCAAGCTGTTTCTCTTAAATTCAACAAGTCAGTATTTTCTTTCATAACTTTAAAACTATATTTCTCAATTAAATGATTTTTTACAGTTACATTTAACATTTATTTACAGTCCTTCACCGAATGATATATCTAATTCGTCAGAAATGGATGTTACGCACGTACATGAGAGTGACGTTCAAGAATCCGAAGAAGTAAGAGGATATCATGACCTTGAAAGAAAGAAGGCTTGCATTTTTTGTGACAAATCAAGTCATAGAAGAGTTCGAATGCGCAATGAACCTCTAAGCATAAGCGAGAAGTGGGAAAATTGGGAAAACTATTTAGTAGATGCTGTAAACAGTGAAAACTTTGAAAAGGTAGTTACGATAAGAAGTTACTTAGATAATAAGATTCTCTACCACAAAACTTGTCTAAATGACTACCGCAGCGTGCTTGCTAAAAAAAGTCTGCAAACGTACTAGTGATTGGCACAAAACAAGAGATTGTTACAAAGAAGCTTACGAAGTGGTTAAAAAATTCGTCGTCAAATTCGTTATAAAAAAGAAAAATGCCTGCACTCTTGATTTTCTTAATAGACTGTTTAAAGAGGCTCTGCTCGACGAATACAATAAATTGAAGAACAGCGGCCTCAGTGAAGGTGTGACACAGTTTATTTATACGAAACACTTAGGTTTAAGAATACAGAACACATTTAAGAGGAAAATAAAAATTTATAGTTTCAATAAAACTAAATTGATCCTGCCGTATGGTGGCATTAAAATAAATATCGATACCTTAACAGATAACGATTTACTCCATAGATCTGCATTACTTTTGAGACGTGCTATAATTGATAATAAAACTACTAAATTTAGAAGTCAAATCACTGATGAAAATTTGATGGATGGGGAATGTGATATCCCAGAAGAGCTGATTTTTTTCTTCACCACCGTACTTGCTGCTTTCAATTATCGTCGACGAAAAAGTCCGAGAACTGTAAGGCTAGTAAAATCTTTTTCTAGCGACCTTATTCATGCAGTATCGAACGGTAAAATGTTACCTTCAAAACACATCGTTTTAGGAAGTACTATTAAGAGTTTTAGTAATAGTAAAAAAATTGTTCGTATCCTCCATAGATATGGACACATCTGTAGTTATAATGTTCTTGAAGAATTGGAGACAGAAGTAACGTATTCTTCATTGGACTCTTCGCGAATCTGTACATCGGGTATCGTTCTTGAACCAGGTCTGCTTACATCAAGTGCTTTCGACAATTTTGATAGATATATTGATAGTGTCACCGTTAAAAATACGACCCTCAACGACACTGTTGGAATCGTCATTCAGAACATAGAAGGAGTGGGGTGTAGTGCCAAAAGAATAGATTTGTGAAAACGACGAATCCTCAACACCTATCCTTGGCAAAACAAAAAGAAGACGCACTTTTGAATCCTGCCCTCCAGACGTACGACCGTATTATAAAAAGCCAAAAATACAAGATACTGTGTTACCCTACGATTCTCCATTAAGAGAAATAGATGTAAAAAATATGGAGTACGTTAAACATTTAGATTTACTATGTCTGATGTCACATGCTTCCGATATCGTCACACCGATGTGATAGGGTTTAATGCCAGAATTAATCGTACAGATAACCAAATAAAACAAAAAGTTTTTTATTTGACACCGATTAACGAAGCTCCGACAGATAATTCTATCGTTTTAGAGACCATGCGCAGAGCTCTTCGAATCGCAGATGAGTGTGGTGAGCAGTATGCACAAGTTACCTATGATCTAGGAATTGCAAGAATAGCTTTACAATTGCAGAATACGGAATTTCATGAGTTCCAAAAATTATTTATACACGTTGGCGGTTATCGGGGTAATTTCTTTATTATTAAAAAATATCTTTTGTCGAGTCAATTTATGCCACCAAAAATTATTTATATCATCATATACATAAACATTTTATTAAATATGTACAAGCGTTAAATATTATATCTAATGAGATTTGAGTGGATTACCTAATAATGTTTGGGGTGAACAATTGACTCACGTATTAAAAATTAACCATATTTTTATTTAACCACTGTTTATTTTATTGTGTTGTTACTGTAGGTACATTTATCAATTCATGTGGCTTATTGGTCGAAAGTGGACTGCTTGGAAGTGGGTCTGTTTCAGGATTTTTATCTGGGACACACTAACAGATGTAAACGATTACATTTATTGGTTTATCTATCTCTGCAAAAACTGCAGTTTGAATCCTTCTTAGAAGCTAAGGGAATTGTAATAGGCGAAAATCTAAAGCAATCATTGCAACAATTACAAAAGGGTAAATGCACTGTAGAAAATATAATGAATAACCATGGTATGCAGGATATTTTTAGTAAATTTAAGGAGTTTCAAGAAGAAACACTTGATGAAAAACATGGCAAAACCCAAAAATTTTACGCTATATATTTACGACTTATGGTTAATTATTTACTTACATATTAATTTTTTAAATTGTATCTATACTTTTTTATTAATATTGAAAACTTGTAGGTTATTATTTACTATTTGAGAGGAGCATACGAACAGCTGATTACGACCTATATTGTTAGGCATTGGACAAAATGGCTAATGTATTTTTTGCTGTCAATCACCAAAATTATGCTCGATGGTTAGTGTGGTACGTAAACTCACTATTGAATGTCGACAATACTCATCCTGGTAAGGGAAGAATTCCAAAATGGAAGTTTCGGATGCAAACGAACAGACACGCTCTTCTCGCGTATCCCAATCGATTTAACATTAGAGCAGACCATTAATGCTGACGCAGGTAGGAGACTTACTGGTACTATCCCGTATCACTAACGCACGCACGACACACGCTCGTACGAGATGGGCTATAAACCACGGCTTGAGATGTTCACTTATATCCAAAGTGATGGCGGAGTGCGGTCTGAAGGTCGTTGAAGGTATCACCAATGACTTGCTGAATCATCGAATTAATATAAGTGCGAATCACGTGAACAGTTTCGTATCTACAATGCTGCAAAGGGTAAATCCATTCGCTGCAGATGTGAGAAAGGATGCACTTATAAATGTATCAACAGGGAAAGTAGCTCCAGACGATGTATCAAACTTTCTTTTAAACATAGAAACAAACAAACGGAGAAAACAAGAAGAAATGCATGATTGAAGATTATAAAGAGAATCCCGACAATTTTAGTAAATATGTCATAAGAAGAAACAAAATTTTAAATTTTGCAAGCTGTATCAAAAAATTAAAAGTAAAAATAAATGGAAAAGTACAAGAAGTTATATTGCAAAGAGATCTATTTGGTCGTCTACTGGGAATAGCGTGAAGCTCAGGAGAAAAGATTAATATGGAAAAGGTAACAATACATATATACATATCCACAGAAAATCTACACATAGTTAGTTATGATTGTGGAATAAAAAAATCATGAACATTTGATTTTCTTCCTTTTTCAGGTTTTGACTTACCCATTGACACCGGTGCCTTTTTCGCTTTGATATATAGATGGCAACATCAACAAAACTGATAAATCAGTTTTAACAAAAATACTGGAAACTTCGATCAAGATAACAAAAAACCCCCAAGATCATGGCGAGCCAGCACTTATAGATGTTGTCATCATTGATGGAATGTTCTTATTGCATCAATTGAAGCAAGTACCTGCGACATTAGGGGCTGTAGCAATAAAAAAATTGAATTACGCCATTATGACAAATCCTTCTGCTAAGGAAATTTATCTGATTTTTTATGAATACCACATCCCATCCATCAAAGACAATGAACATCTCTTAAGAGATAATTTCACTGCGAAGTACGAGTTCAAAGGTAAATATATAAAAATATTAATAGAGTTTTTAATTAATTTTATTGTAATGAAGATAATATTTTTATTGGGTGCAGATCAGAAGCGACCACCTGATTTCGCAGCAGAATTAAAAAATATAAATTTCAAGAAATCCTTCATCCCCTTTATCATGGACTATTGGGCGTCAGAACCATCAGTGACGGATATAATAGGAGATAAGCAACTATATGTTTCTTTCGAGAGATGTCTACGGTACAAAGTAGATGACACATCGTCACTTGCGAGGTAATGCCCAATTTAAAATGCGAAGGCCACGAGGAAGCGGACACAAAAATGGCGTTTTTCCCGAGTCAACTTAAAGAAGAAAAAGAAGTAGTGATCAAATGCTCTGACACGGATATCCTCGTCATCGTCCTTGCAAACATGGAAAAACTACCAGCGTCACTGAAGGTTTGGACATTATTTGGCGTCGGAAACAATCGTCGTTACATTAACATGAACAAAGTGTATGACATACTGGGAAGCAAAAAAATGCTCAGGTTTATCGGCTTTCCATGCCTTAACCGGGTGCGATTTCAACCCTGCACTTTACCGCAAGGGAAAAAGGAAACCGTGGGGACTGTATTCTGACAATGAAGATTTCCAAGAAGCTTTCATCGCATTGCAAAGCGCAGATAGCGACAATTACGAAAGTGCATTTACCACGCTGGAGGACTTTGTCCGCAAAATGTACGCAACAGCGAAAAATGGCCTCAGAAAATGCTCTAATGTAGACGAGGCTCGTCTACGAATATTTACGCAAACATATACAAACATAATAGAGCCCACAGACTAGTTCAAGCAAAAGTTGATGAATTTCGATGCTTGCATATTACCACCTTGTAAACGTGAACTCCAACAACTTCTTCGAGCAGCGTACATTGGACATATGTGGAAAAATTCTTTTTCTCCAGTGCCCAACGATTCATTGAATGTAGAGGAATTCGGCTGGAAACTGGAAAATAACAGCTATTCCTTCCGGTGGTTCGAGGGTGATGACATTCCTCCTAATGTACAGGAAATTATTGAAGGTACTTATTTCTTTCTACTCATGCTTTTATCTTTTCACATTGGAGGTCATTATTCTACTAGAAATTTCATTACTGTACGATCAGTTGTTTTTTACTTATGTTTAACAAATACGTAAAATCAGAATGATAACTGAAAAACATGTTTTTCTTTAATTTTCATAGCCCCAAAAGAAAGCGGCGCTAATGACGAGGAAGTCATATCGATGTATCCAAATGTTGATGACGAAGAGGATGACGAATCGAATAGCGACGATGAGAGCGATTGCCAATCCGATATTGGTTACACAACGGAAGAAGAGTCCGTACATAGCCGCGATGATGATGATGATAATGATAATGGTCGATAATGATGATGAAGCGGTTGATGATAATGATAATTAATAATACTTCACGTTTAAAATAATGATGCTGCTAATAATTTTTTACTTTAATTTTTCATAAAAAATTTAGAAAAAAAAATTATAAAATCGGACCATTTTTTTTTTGTTTATTTAATCAATTGTCATAAAGCTACATGCCATTCTGCATTTCAACTTGAAATAGTATCTACTAACAAAATACAAAGCGGCATGCAATAAGAAGTCACGGCATTTTTCAGATTTTTTTTTTCAATTGAAAAATTGATGTTTATTCAATTTTTTCACAACTTTGGTATGTTGGGCTGTAGCTAGATGCATGCCATGTACGTTCATGACTTGAAATAATGTAAATTCATGAAATTTTTGCAACTTTTATTGTTATTTATAATACGATGGGCTTATTCAACATGCATGCCATTTGAATTAGATAATTATTTCGTTATAAAATTAATATTCATCCTTATTAGGAGTAATTTGGAATCACGGAAAATCAGAGTTCAATTTTTACAGATTTTCCGGAAATTTTCCTCCGTTGGTCATACGAGGGGTGCATGCCAATTTTTCCAGATGTTTTTATTACAAAAACTTCCGTTCTTTATATCGGCATGCAATTTGAAAACACGGAATTGCCCTTTAATTTTTTTCAGGTTTTCAGAACCCTTTGATCATCTTGGGCCGCTGCGGGGTGCATGCCATCACTTATTAGAGCTTCAATTTGCTTGAACTTCCGATTATTACAATGGCATGCAGTATACTATCACGAAAAAACACGAAAATTTGCTACACAAAGAAAAGCGCTTTTCCTTATAAAGAGGACGCGCGGGGGGGGCTAAAGCCCCGACAATCTTTGATATTTTAGGGTTAGTAGTTATCAAGCCTTAAAAAGGCATGCACGACAAAATCGTGGACCATCATCTGTCACCAGCCCCCGGTCTATTTGTGGCATAACTTAGGGGAGGCCTATGTTCAGCAGTGGACTTGTGAAGGGCTGTAACGATGATGATGATGATGATTATAAATATAGCTGATGTTACTTTAAAAGAAGCACATGCTGTATCTTGTCGTTAATAGTCAGTTTAATATATTATAGAGATTAAGAGACTATCAATTAATAAATAAAGAGTAGATTCTTGTAATCAAAATTAAAATAGTATGTTTTCTATTGCTGCATTTGCACTCCTTTCCCGGTCCACTGCTCGTCAAGTTTAACTTCACATTCGAGGTCCCTTAACGCGGATTTCACATCGAAGCCGAACTCCTTCCCAAACTTGTCGTAAGACCTGTCCAGAATGCTCTGGATGCCCAATTCGTGGAATTTGGAATTATACTCGCGACATCTGGCAACCATGTTGCGTATCGCCCAACAACCGTTTTTCTGAAAAAAAAAGTAACGAAAACATTTTTTAAGTATAGAATATGGTTTACAAAAGAACACACAGTCCTGTAGTCGAACTACAAGCGAAACGCACCGAAGCCTAAATCGCGCTATCGAAGTTCTGAACGCACTGCGGTATATATAGTAGAGCTCCAAGCTACCACGCGGAGCGTTGACAATCGCTCCCCGGGCTGAATACTTTGCCTTAAATTTTCTCTTTCCTTTCCCCGGCCAAACACCCGATGGCAAGTAGATGATGTGGCTACGTGTTTTTTCTACAATCATAGCTACACCGTGGCTCCACAACTTGCACATTTTCTGATACATTCAATAAAAGTAATTTTACGGATTTTATCGCATTTATTTTAACTTATTTGTAGAGTAAATGTCTAGAGTACCCATTGTCACGTGGTGGTTCAACGGACTGATGTCACAGTTAGCTTGGGTTGCTTAAAATTAAATTGTAAATTAATGTTTAAAATTAATCCTGCTGGGTTTCCTGCTGGTTTTACCCAAGAAAGATGTTTTTTTTTTTAAATCAGTGGTAAAACTTAAATGACTCAATAAGTATTTGGCTATTAATCTATATTGAATAAAAATGATTCTATTATTATTCCGGATTACTTAGAATTTTGAAATATTAAGGTAAAAAGGTTGACAATTTCTGGTTTACAGAGTAACAATAAAAATAAATCAAACCTGAACACTAGCGACATCTGGGTGAATCTCTACTATAAAGTAGTCGAATTAAAGATTCTATTATTAATCCGAATTACTTAGAATTTTGAAATATTAAGGTAAAAAGTAACAATAAAAATAAATCAAACCTGAACACTAGCGACATCTGGGTGAATCTTTAAACATTCAACAATGGCTTCAGGTGCCCCGTTCTCGAGGAACTCCTTGCTGTGTCCCTGCTCGCGTAGGGTTAAGGCTGCAACGCACTTTAGCGTTAAAGTAGATGCTGTTGGATTACTCTGAAAATAGATCAATAATTGAAAATGTTACCGTAATGTTACCGTTATCATCATTACAGCCCTTTACAAGTCCACTGCTGAACATAGGCCTCCCCCAAGGTATGCCACAAAACACGGTCCTGAGCCACCTGCATCCATCGACTTCCTGCATGTCTTACCAGGTCGTCACTCCATCTAGTGGGGGGTCGTCCTACACTTCGTCTACCGGTACGAGGCTGCCACTCGAGAACCTTTTTTCTCCAACGGTTGTCGGTTCTTCGAGCTATATGGCCGGCCCATTGCCACTTCAGCTTACTAATCCGTTGGGCTATGTCGGTCACTCTGGTTCTACTGCGGATATCCTCATTTCTAAGTTTATCATGCAGAGAAACTCCGAGCATAGCCCTCTCCATAGCTCGCTGGGCAACTTTGAGCGTCCTCATACGGCCAGCAGTGAAGGACCACGTCTCCATATGTCATCACTGGCAACACGCACTGGTTGTACAACTTAGTTTTCAGGTTTTGAGGTATACCTGACGAGAAGATGTGTCGCAATTTTCCGAACGCTGCCCAGCCGAGTTGAATCCGTCGATTGACCTCTCGGTCGAAGTTGGACTTACCTAGCCGGACTATTTGTCCCAGGTAAACGTACTCGTCAACAACTTCGAGCTTAGTGCTCCCAACAACAACCGGCATAGGTGTGACATGGGCATTAAACATGATCTTTGTTTCGTCCATGTTCATCTTAAGACCTATCTGTTGGGAGGCACTATTGAGGTCATTGAGCATAGTGCTTAAGTCCTCCAGCGATTCTGCCATCAGGACTATATCGTTGGCAAATCGAAGGTGAGTGATGTACTCGCCATTGATGTTAATACCGTATCCTTTCCAGTCCAGTAGCTTGAAAACTTGTCTTCCAATGCAGCGGTGAAGAGTTTCGGGGAAATAACGTCACCCTGTCTTACACCTCTCTGCAGCTTGGATAGGTTTCGTACTCTGGTTCTGTACTCGGATAGCCATCGTAGCCCTACTGTACAAACACTTCAGCACTTCGATATACCAACAGTCAATTTGGCACCGCTGACGAGACTGTAGCACCGCCCAAATTTCGACGGAATTAAAGGCTTTCTCATAGTCCACATACGCTAGGCAAAGTGGCAGATTGTACTCTTCGGACTTCTGTACAATTTGCCGGAGGGTATGTATGTGATCTATGGTACTAAAGCTTTTTCGGAAACCGGCTTGTTCGGGAGGCTGGAAGTCGAGTCTGCGTGCGAGACGATTCGTAATGACTCTCGAAAACAGCACGTAGACGCGGCTCAGAAGGGATATCGGTCTGTAGTTCTTCAAGAGGGCGTTGTCACCTTTCTTGAAGAACAAGACCACCGCACTTCTGCTCCACGCCTCCGAAGTAGTGCCACCATGGAGGACGGAATTAAAGAGTCTCTGAAGGACTTCAAGTACCGCTTTTCCACCCGCTTTCTGACGCTCCGCTGTAATTCCCTCCTCGCCCGGGGCCTTGCCGGTTTTAAGGTGCTGGAGAGCCAGTCTAATCTCGCTCAGACTGACGTCCGGGATATCATCGGAATAGTGTCGGATAAGACCCGCTCTTGGATCGTTACTCACACTTGCGTGTGGCTCCAACGATGATGTGTACAGCTGCTCATAGAACCTCTCAATCTCACTCAGAATCTCAGGTGTCCCTGTGTGCTGCCACACTCAGTCTTCAGCTTTGACAGTTGGCTCTTACTGGCAGACAGATCTCTGGCAAAGACTTTGGAGCCCTGGTTTCGCTCAATCGCTTCTTCAATACCAGCAGTATTAAATTTCCGTAAGTCTCGCCGCATGCATTTGGAGATCTGTCTGTTCAGTTGCCTGTATGCTGTCAAATCTGTTGACGATTGCAGCCTCATCTCCCGTCTAACAGCCACTCAATCTCACTCAGAATCTCAGGTGTCCCTGTGTGCTGCCACACTCAGTCTTCAGCTTTGACAGTTGGCTCTTACTGGCAGACAGATCTCTGGCAAAGACTTTGGAGCCCTGGTTCCGCTCAATCGCTTCTTCAATACGAGCAGTATTAAATTTCCGTAAGTCTCGCCGCATGCATTTGGAGATCTGTCTGTTCAGTTGCCTGTAAGCTGTCAATTCTGTTGACGATTGCAGCCTCATCTCCCGCCTAACAGCCATGGGATTAAGAGTGTGATCGGAGAGCTTCTGTGTTCTTCTGCGGCCGGTCTTGCAGAACTTAGCTCCGACCGCATGGACAGTTGCCACGAGCTTGTCATTCATATCGTCCACTGTATTGCAATTTTCTTGGCACTGAAAGCGGTTACGTAACTCGAGCTGAAAGGTTTCGGGATTCTGGATTAGAGCACGAGGGGGGACGGTGCGTTGACTTCATTAGACGAGACCTCTCCAACTTAACGTTAAGGTTCAGTGTGCCTCTAACCATTCGGTGATCGCTGCCAGTTTTCACCCTTGCGATCACTGAGACATCACTGAACAGTTGGCGTCTGGTCGTCATAATGAAGTCAATATCATTTTTTGTCGAACCGTCGGGGCTCGACCAGGTCCACTTCCTGTGGGGCCGCTTCTGGAAGAAAGAGCTCATCATAAAGAGTCCCTCTTTCTCCATGAAGTAGGCCAGCTGCTGGCCCCTACGGTTCCGTTGCCCTACTCCAAATTTCCCTAACTTCAGCTCACCGCTTTCTCTTGTGCCTAGTTTTGCGTTGAAGTCTCCCATCAACACCGTGTAGTGGGTTTTGGAGGAATGCATGGCTCTAGAAATATCCTCATACATTTCCTCCACCTCCTCATCGGGATGTGCCGAGGTTGGTTCGTAAACCTGTATGACCTTCAGCGAATACCGTTTGGTGATTCTGAGTGTCAGGTACGCGACCCTCGTCGACACACCCCCAATCTTTACAATGTTGTTGACGAAACACTTATGGACGATAAATCCGACACCTCCTTGGGACAGATCGTCGCCCTCCCGGTGATAGAACTAGTTGCCGGACTCGAGGATTACCGTGTCCTTCCCCTCTCTTCGGACCTCGGATAACCCAATAATATGCCAGCGCAACTTGTCTACCTCTTCTTCCAACTCCAGTATCTTCTCGTCAGTCCTCAGGATGCGTGCGTTATATGTTGCCAGGTAGACTCGTCGTAGGTGGCAACCGAACCTCCACCGGAGATTCTTAGCACCCCCTGCCCCGCCGTTACCATGGTCGCCACCGTAGCCAGGAATAGCGGGGCCGCCGGGGGCTGGGGGCCGTTTGTTTGCGCCGTTACTCATGGGGGGATATTTGCCATACCGATACGATTAGAGCCTATTAAAAGTCCACTGCTGAACACAGGCTTCCCCCATAGATTGTGCATCATAGGAGGATATTTGCCATAGCCACCACCCACCACGCTTTGTTTCCCTCTGTCGTCTCCTACAACACCCACGGAATGATATACCGTTACACTATTTGGATTCTTGGCGATATACCGTTACCGTTAGAGCCTAATAAAGTCCATTGCTGAACACAGGCCTCCCCTATTGATTGCCTTATAGGGGGGATATTTACCATAGTAAGCAAGCGAGTAGGCAACCGCAGTTGTTTATTTTTAGTTGTTATTAGGAAGATGCTGTTGCACAATCTTCTGATTTGTTTTCTTCTGTTATGTCTTACGGCACCCCGGGATGATATACTACACGATAAATGGCGATTTACCCGTCTCTTTCTTCCGTCGATTTGTTTGTAGAATTTGGTACCCCCAGCGATTTTTCAGCAAACGAATTCGGAACCTTCAAGAGCCTTACTCCTTTATAAAGCTGGCACACTCCTGCAATTCCTCTGCAACTCAAATGCGGCGTTAAAAATGGAAAGTTACCCATCAGGTGAGCCGCATGCTTGCCCACTCTTCTAAAAAAATATCCTTTGTATAATGGGAGATGCCCGTATCCAGGAATGGACTGTAGGAAGCTGATAAAAGAGAATTAGATAAATATATTATTAACAATACGTCCTTTTTATGAAACTTATGAGATTTTAAATATATTTTTTTATAATAATTAAAATTGACAATTTAATTTTATAATAATTTTGACTCGGATGTTTTTTTTTCTTTTGATTTTCTTTAGTTTATGTTGAAATTAACTGTCGTATTTATACTCCCTTATACCCAATTAAATTTGTACGCCATTAAAGGCAAAAACATAAGGAAACTATAATGTTTTTTCTGCCAACATCATACAAGCATGATTTGTGCACCCATGTTTATACTAATAAGCTATTATTTTTATTAATATACTTACCGAATACCTTGTCAATAATGAAACTATAATCGGGACGATACCACTCTTCACCAATTGCCTTTTAACATCATCGTTGCCCGCCAACGCTGTTATTCTAAAATAAAAGAAACACACCATAACAACCATATTAGGGAACTATGGAAACCATATCATATTAGATCAATACTTTAGTGGAACATACTGGTCTCACTTCCGAATTTTTCATAGCGGTTGAATTAAAATGACTGATATTAGAAACGAAAACTATCTTGCGTTCAGTGACAACAACACCGAATTGAAGACCGTCCAACATTGGCACAACCACAATCAAGAAGTACTAAAAGGGGACATAATCGGTAGGACCGATGAAAATACAGCAATCACCAAAAACTGCATAATCAAAGTAAACCAAGCGTCTTGTAATGATTTCAGTGACAGCACTGACCAACTAAAACACCGAGTGAGACATATCAACTATTGGAAGACCGAATTGGAGAGAGCTATACGAGATATCGATGCGGAAATAACAGTTTTAGAAGCACTGAGACAACAGCTTAAGAACGCTATGGACACTATAAAAATACCAGAGTACATTACAGAGGAGTGTTTAAACCTACGACGTAATAGAATGCAATCGGATACAATATACGACGAACCACAAGATGCGCTTTTTAACGAATCAGTCTTGATTGAAAACGTCAAAAGACTGCAAGCAGATGCGTTAAGAGAGATCGAGTACCAAATGAAAACGAACGTGGCAGCGAAATGCGCTTTAGAAAAAGATTGGAGCAATAAATGTCTCGCTTTCAAATACGAGAGCAAGAACGCCGACTTGGAAACCAAAGCAGATAATGTTAAACAATCGGCGGGAGCGACGCGAATATCTGAAGGGCAATCGAATGTACAATCTTGGGAACAATACACTCTGTCTGGACTGCAACAGTTCAAAAATGCTATTGATAAATCTAAGGAACTTCGTAGTAAAGTGGACGCACTACTGATAAACACCGCAAGGGATCTGCGTTCACAAGACATTAAAGTCAACAAGGCATTAAGCGACAGAATCGCTCGTACTGAACAAGTGAAGACCGAATTAGAGAATCAGCTACGGTTAACACTGTCGAAGATATGCGAGACGGAAAACATTCTTGAAACGTTGCACGAGGAAATGCTTAAAGTTTCACAAAGGATACAAGTTGCGCAAACGAGATTGAATACTAAAAGTATTAGACCTAACGTTGAAAATTGCAGAGAGGGGTCTTTAGTGGGCCTTATAGATGAAGTTAGAGACCTGAATGATAGCATGACCCTATTACAGAAGCGATCTTTAGAGACGCAGAAATTAAGGGCGGAACTCATACATGAAAGATCCAAGTTAGAAAACGAAATAATAGTGAAGAAAAAGTCCCTTTACATTGATAATGAGAGGTGTTTGTATTTGAGATCTCACTTTCAATCAGCTGAAAAATTGTGCGGTTTCTAAATAATGTCCATAGGGTTCTTTCCTAAAAAGATCCCAAAGGCAAATATTACTTAAATAAAGTAGTATCAAACTTGGTTATTCATTCCGTCTATTTGGCTTGCTTAATGTCCTCGCCTACTACACCCATATTTCACCGTAAAAAAAATTAGTAAAGCTTATGAATTGGAACAACTCACATGCTCATTAAACCTAATTTTCTCTAAATCTTTTACTTTGAGTATATTTCATATATGAAATATACTCAAAGTAAAAGATTACTATACTACTAATTTGTTCAGCTGTGTTAGCAGAACCACTATCAGGTGCTGCTAATTTGTTGGTATGTATATATTATGTTGAAACATCAATAACTCTTTTGAGGATTACAGTGCACAGATGTAAGTACGCCAGCACAGGTGCATTCCATTTTCTCTCACTCTCATATGAATATATTCATTTACTATTTTTTTAGGATACGGGTGACAAACGAGCACACAGTCCACCTGATGGTATGTAGTTTGACATCTACATCTATCCTCGATTATGAATCAACATGCAGATGCGTTGTCATCCGAGAGGACTAAGATGGATGAATGTCTCGTTCTCAGTAAAAAAGGTCTCCGGTTCTCTACACTCACCAAACGAAACACAGCAGCATTAAGCTGCTATTTTACGCTGGTAATCTGTGAGAGCGTGGACCTTCCCCGGCCGAGCCAACGCATTCGTGCTACAATACACTGCTAATTTAGCTGCAACATGACTACCACGTATTTAGTTTTTTCAACTGTGTTAGCAGAACCACTATCAGTTATTTGTTGGTATGTATATATTATGTTGAAACATCAATAACTCTTAGGATTACAGTGCACAGATGTAAGTACGCAAGCACAGGTGCATTCCATGTTTCATAAATATAGTGAAACTTCAATAATTCTCATCCTTCACAATAATGTTTTTTTGCAACTATTTCTCAATTAAATTAGGGTTTCCTCCAGATCGAATTTCGATCACGGCGGCCAGTCTCAATGGAGACTAACAAGTACAAGACAGGATTACAATGCACAGGTGTAAGTACGCAAGCACAGGTGCATTCCATTTTCCCTCACTCTCATAATCCTATGGGACGGTAAACCGACACAACCAGAGATCAGGCGTAAGACCAACGGCTTTACGTGCTTTCCGAGGCATGGAAATAAAACACCGCCAAATTCTTCCCGACTCCGGGCTCGTACTGAGGATATTTTTGACAAAAAGAAACAATAACAAATTTTTAGTTCTATATATCTACTAACTAGCTTGCCAGGCAGACGTTGTTCTGTCCTTCTCGACGACCCTTTGTCATGTCCTATTAAAAATCCTTAAATTCGCAAAAAAAAAACTGTGGGTCACTCATGGGCAAAAAAACTATCGTATCTCTCATGTTGGACCAAACTGCACACGATGTGCCAATTTGATTAAAATCGGTTTAGTAGTTTAGGAGTCCATCGCGGACAAACAACGTGACACATAACTTATATATATTAAGATGAAACACAACAATAGTACTTCTTCAAAATAAAGTTTTTTTTTTCAATTGTGTCAATAAGATTAGAGTGTGAAGATGATATATCCAGTTTTGTTTCATTTTTATTTATTTTTTAAATATATGTTCGAGATAAAACCTTTTAATAAATAAATAAAAAACTACTTACAATTTGCACGCCTGTTGAATTACGCCGACGTCGTCATAGTTATCTGCGAGCACTGTGAACAGCAGACCGCCACTATGTTCTGCGACCAGAGCACACAGCTCGTTCCTTACCAGAAGCGAAGCGATCGTTAGCATCAGTTCCGACACCTCGGGCGGCTTGGTGTTCTCTATTAGGTGGAAATATTGCCTTAATTAAGAAAATTCTCATATATAAAATGGCAGGATCAATTCGCATTCTTGGTTACTATATACTGGGTGACCATTTTTACCGTTTGGAAAAAAAAATACGGTGTAACATGTGAACGGAGTAGAAGCCTATGGCACTGATATTTTACAATAAATAAAAACAAAAATTTTAAATTAAATAAATTAATTAATTAAAATCAATCGAAATTCAAATCATATCCACCTTACTTTACAAACGACAATAAAACAATAAATTTAGTAAGCATCTTTGACCCTGTCATTTCGCAGGGTCACAGGCTCAAGGGCAAAGTAATTGGTTCAAAAAAGTTTTCAAACGTTTGTTTAATTCGAAATTTTTGTTATTAAGGTTTTGTAAAATATCAGTGCCATAGACTTCTACTCCGTTAACATGTTGCACCCCACTTTTTTCCAGACTGTAAAAAAGGTCATCAAACCAATCCAATATCACCAATCCGATACAACCGGAAAGATTTCCGGTTGTATCGGTTTACCGTCGGACTATGAGAGCGAGAGTGCAGCTGTTTGTGCAAACACTCGTGCATTATAGTTTTATTCCTCGCAACAGTACGTCTCCGTTGTTGAGACTGGCCGCCGTTACCGAAGTGCTGGAGGACATTTCACACTGTAGTATGTATAAAATGTTATATAACAATAATTACATACTAACATTTCAAAATTAAGTTCTGAAGACAAGAGAATAAACAGTGAAAGAAACAGTAATATACTATATCATTTGAACAACAAAAAGGGAAGGGATTATTATGTAACTAAAGCATGTGTCATAATATTGATTTTTATGTAGTACTAGCTTCTGCCCGCGACTTCGTACGCGGATCCTGTTGCTTATGCCAGCGACAACGGGGTCGTCAAAATCGAAGATCTGAAACGTCTGATGTTGAATTCTAAGAGCCCGGGGACGGGAAAACAACGTGATTCACGAGACGATTCGAGACGTTCTAGATCTTTCATTTTTGTAAGTCAACAGTAAATGCCCATCAGACTCAACTTATGCTAAGACGTCATTCCTATATATGTTATAGTGTTGCTGGGCTTTGGATGGAGTGTAACTCCCTGTGTGTTATTAAGTTAGTTAATATATTGGTAATATTGTTTATATCACGTTCATTTTTATGTAGTATGAGCGACCCTCCACTAGATGGAATGACGGCCTGTTAAGACATGCAGGAAGTCGATGGATGCAGGCGGCTCAGGACCGTGCTTTGTGGCATTACTTGGGGGAGGCCTATGTTCAGCAGTGGACTTGTGAAGGGCTATAATGATGATGATGATAATGTAGTATTACTTTTACTGTTACAACTTATTAAAGTCCACAACTTTATAATAGCCTCCCCTATAGATTGCCTCATAGGGGATTATTTGTCTTAGTCACCAAGCTTGGCAAGCTGATAGGCAATCACAGATTTTTGAATTTTATTCATTATTAGAATAGAATAAGAACAAAATTGTTACACCACAACTACACGGTACATACACTACACGGTATATAGTATTGAATATTATTAAATTAAGGGTCCATGGCGCATAGGCTTAGCATTGTTTTACGATGCTGAAGACTGCGGTTCAAATCCTGCACAGAACAAGTACTTGTACGTCCTGCATATAATTGTTCCTGGTCTGTTTGTCCTTGTGTAATTTATGTACGTAAACTGCCTCCACAGATACACGAGAAAATCCTAGTGTGTGGGAAGCTTTTTTTAATAATAATAAAACTGAACACAAGGTTAGAAAGGTTAGCTTAGTAAGAAAAGTGACGTGGTAGAGCTATGCTGCAGCTATATTATGGTTGTAGCATGAATGGATTGGCTCGACCGGGGTAGGACTGCGCTCTTACAGAATACCATTGTAAAATAGCTGCTTACTGCTGCTGTGTTACATATGGTGGGTGTAGAGAACTGGAGACTCTTTTTACTAGAAACGAGGCATTCCATCTTAATCCTCACGGGTGACGACGCGTCTGCATTTTGATTCTTAATTGAGGATAAATGTAGATGTCTATGGGCCACAGCATCCACTTACTATCAGGTGCACTGTGTGCTCGTTTTACATTTTCAGTCTATAAAAAAAAACACCGGAACAGACCAACTCTTCACAAGCAGCACTTGTTCGTTAGATATCTACCTACCCTACTTATATTAATAATTTAACTACCCTTCAGTAAATTTGTCAAGGTCTCCAATAACTGTACGCCGAGTTCCCGGGCATGTTCATGAGCTTTGCCGAACTCGACGCGAACATCATCATCCAACGTCATTTTTCGTATCACTTGGAGGCTTTCACTTAATAACTGAAACAATATGAAATTTCAAATAACTGAAACAACATGAAATTTCAAATAACTGAAACAACATATTTCAAAATAACTGAAAAGATATTAAACAAAATGGCTGCTATTTTACACAGGTATTCTGTGCAAATGTAGTACTTCCTGGTAGTGCCGACTTCATGAAGAAATCATGTTAATTATTAATAACATCCTCCAGACCAAATTACGGTCTCGGGCGGTCAGCTCAATAAAGACCAGTCTCATCTGCCCAAGATAGGTTTATAGTACAAGAGTTTCCACACAAATACAGGTTCACTCTCTATTCCCTCACTCTCATAGTATGAGGAACGCTAAAAGCCTTTTTACGCCGAAAATCCATGCTTTAAATAAAAATAAAAATCCTTGAAACATAATCACCTTTGCACTGCCTTTTCTTTTTAATAAGATTTTCAAGTTCTCGCCAATATTCTTTGCAAATATCCTCTGGCGGTTCATTTCGTGTTTAACGCAACATACACTTGTCCATTTGAGTGCTCCTATTAAAATGGTTTCGTTTTGTATTTTGTCCAGTGTGCTGCAAAAAATAAATTTCATCTACTTCTATACAGCCCATCGAAAGTCCACTGCAGAAAAGCTTCGTAGGCTTTGTAGATAGCCACATAGAGCGAATATTTGCCATTGTTGCCACAGCAGGTTGGTTGGCACCATTTTTTTATTATTATTGAGTTTTTATCAGGAAGATTATGCTGTTCACCTTCTCTTTTAATTTCCTCTGTAGCTTCTTGCGAAACCAATGTGATGATATTAGATAGTGTATCTTACGCCGACTACATGATACAGAAAAAAATCATTTTTTCTTATAAAATAAGTGTGACAAACGAGCACACAGTCCACCTGATTGTAAGTGGATGCTGTGTCCCATAGGTATCAACATTTATCATCGATTAAGAATCAAAATGCAGATGCGTTGTTACGCCTGAGGACTAAGAGGCAATGCCTCGTTTCTCTATTTTACACTAGTATTCTATGAGAGCGTGGTCCTTCCCCGGTCGGGTCGACCCATTCGTGCTACAAGCATAATATAGCTGTAGCGTGGCTCTACGTGGATTGTGAGGGATTCCATCCTCAGGTGTGATAAGACATCTGCGTTTTCCATCTGTAAACCTAAATGTATAATGTAAGTTTGTTTAACACTACATTTTTGTAAGGAATGGATAGAATAGAGTAATTTCATAAAATAGTGCTTTTCGTGGATGTCATTTTAAGTAAGTAATTTTGTATGAAAAATAAAGACCAATTGCAATGGCAGTAATGGCAGTAATGGCTTTATAATGTTAATGATTGATGAATGAATGATTTAACAGTGGTAGAGAGTGCTCAAACCGGGGTGGTACCACGACCTCACAGAATACCGGCGAGAAGTGGAAGCTCTGCTTCCGCGTTTCGTCTGGTGAGTGCAGGTGGCCGGAGGCCCAAATCCCCCCCCCCTCATCAACATGGTAGCGGAATTAAATGATGATAGACTACCCCAGAAGGGTACCAGCACCCCTGGAGAATCCCTCGCTGAGCATCCACGACCATGTTTCTCCACTTCTGAGCGTGGGTGCTCAGGCTGCCCCGCGTATTTGGGGGGGGGGGGGGCAAAATTCCGCTCAAGACTAAAACTGCTCGGGGCAAACGGAGCAACAAGACCAAGGCGACCCCTGCCACGCTGTCCGTGAATTTCTGCAATATCAGGGGACTTCATTCTAACGGGCTGGAGTTTGCGTTTACGTCAGAGAGGACATCTGTTCTCGACGCCTCGGCAGACTTGAAGGTTCGGTCCTTTGGCTACGCGTAGACAGCGACGACCATCCGCGCGTCTACGGGTGCCTCTATAGGTCCCATAGCGGTAATGCCGAAACAGACCGACTCTTCGACCGCGTCCAAATGGCTACAGATTCGTTGCTACAGCAGATCTCTCAGCAGAGATCGTGATCCTCGGCGACTTTAACGCCCATCACGCCGAATGGCTTGGTTCACGTTTAACCGATCATGCGGGGAGATCATGATTTTTGCTTGGCATATGGTCTGACGCAACTGGTTACTTCGCCTACGCGGATTCCAGATGTGGAGGATCATGCACCTTCCCTGTTAGACCTTCTGCTGACCTCTCACCCGGACGGATATCAGATTTCCGTCGACGCCTCTTTAGGCTCCGCGGACCATTTTCTTGTCCGGAGTATGGTGCCACTCACGATGAAATCGCAGTTGCATTCTGCAGGCTGCCGCCGTATTTGGCACTATAGGTTAGTCGATTGGGATGAGATGCGGTCTTTCTTTGCATCTTACCCTTGGAGGCGGGTTTGCTTCTCGCCGGACGATATCAGCGTTGTTGCGGATTCTGTCGCTGATATGGTACTTCAGGGTATGGAACTTTTTGTTCCTTCCTCTGTGGTGTCCATTGGAGGCAAATCTCAGCCATGGTTTGGTCGCTCCTGTAAAATAGCATCATGCTATAAGCAGGAGTGCTACCAAGCCGGGGCTGACGCATCAGCGTCCCGGGATGTAAGCACCAGCGCTCTAAAAAAGAAGTATAATTCCGCCTCTAGGTCCTTCAAAAGAGTCATTGCCGAGGTAAAGTCAGAGCACATAGGCAGAATTGGCGAGAAACTAGTTCGCCTTCCTTCTGGAACCCGTACATTCTGGTCTCTCGCCAAGGCTGTCCAGGGGAATTTCTGTCAGCCATCTCTTCCATCTCTGCACAGGGAGGACGACTCACTGGCCCATACCGCAAAGCAGAAAGCCGTATCTCCTGGGCTCTTTCTTTGCGTCCAACTTGACTCTCGATAGCGGGGCGGGGAGTACGCCGCCGACCATCCCGCGGTGTGAGTGCTCCATGCCAGAAGTGCAGTTCATACAGCGCTCGGTTCGCAAAGCACTCCTCTCCCTGGACATCCACAAGTCGAGTGGGCCTGACGGAATCCCCCCAATTGTGCTGAGGACAGTGGCGAAGCTAGAGCTCCAAGCTAGGGCAAGCCCAAGATATAAATTGATAAAAATATAGATTGTCGTTTTTGCAGTTTTATAAAAATACACCAATCTTGATCTGTCTCCACGCTTCAGTTTCATATTCAGTGCTGTCAAGGACGTGTTTAACAAAGCACTCAGAAGGCTTACCACTGCTAGATAGATTGTATTACATATCAGCAATTTCATAGCTTCGTTGGCTTTGAAGAAAGCCGTTTGGGTCTGTTTAAGCGAAAGAAAAAAATATTTACATCCAATACAATACATGAACAAAAGTAAAACATGAACAAAGTACAAACAAACTACGTACAAAATTAAAAAAACAAATTATTTACATTCTAATGGATAAGAGATAAGATAAGTGGAATCGTCTCGCTTTCTTATGGAAAGATTTAATCACGTCCACGTAAAATGTTGGTGAACGTTTTAATTGTATCAATAACTGTTTTTTAATTGCGATAATTGATAAGTCTGAAATACACTCTTAACCTTGTGTATTATCTCAACAAAGTTTAAAGATTTCCTCTCCGATTAGCACTTTAACACACTTCAATTCATCACAAGGAACACTATTATCCTCCATTTTCATTAAAAATCTTTAAAAAAGCATAAATTTTGAACTCGTAATATTAATTCGCTTAAGATAAGCACACAGAGTAAATAAACATTAAAACGTGAAATGAACTTACTGCAAAACAAAATATATTGCCCGTGCGCCTCCGCTCCGCTTTTAACAAATTTATTCCCAAAAGCCTGGCTTTACATCTCCATACTAATTGCTATATATACAATCGTAGTTATATTTCATTATAGAATATTTTGCCATAGGTTAGAAAGAGAGCTATCGTCTTCTCGAAAGTCCCGTAAAAAGCCCACGCGAGCGAGGGAGACCAATAATCGCTCTATTAACACTCATTTTTTATGACGGCAGCAGTATCGCCAAGGCAATACGAGGTCATCGGTCGACATGTGTCGAACAGTGGAGTGCGCGGGAAATTTGAAATAGCTTGAAACATTTTACGAGTTATTTTATTAGTTGATATTATTGATTGATTCAGTTTTAATAAGGCAAGCCCGGCTTTTCGGCTTTTATGGAAGCTTCGCCACTGGCTGAGGACGTGTGCTCCAGAGTTGGCACCGGTTTTAACGCGTCTTTTCCGGTACTCCTACTCCCTAGCCGTAGTCTCAAAATCATGGAAGACGGCTTTCGTCCACCCGACCCCTAAAAAAGGCGACCGCTCAGACCCGTCCAACTACCGGCCTATCGCCATCACCTCCTTGTTCTCCAAAATAATGGAGTCCATTGTAAACTGCCAGCTCATGAGGTACCTTGAGGATCACCAGCTGATTAGTGACCGCCAATACGGTTTTCGCCGTGGTCGGTCAGCTGGTGATCTTCTGGTCTACCTAACTCACAGATGGGCGGAGGCAGTAGAGTCCAAGGGGGAGGCATTGGCCGTTAGTTTGGACATTGCGAAGGCTTTCGATCGGGTTTGGCACAAAGCGCTTCTTTCGAAGCTCCCTCCCTATGGGCTTCCCGAGAAATTGTGCGATTGGATCACGAGCTTTCTTGCAGATCGGAGCATCAAGGTCGTTGTAGACGGTGCAAGCTCCGATTACAAGGCTATTAATGCTGGTGTTCCACAAGGCTGCGTGCCAATTAAATCGCCAACGCTGTTTCTTCTGCATAGCAATGATATGTTGCAAACCCGTAACATTCATTGCTATGCAGATGACAGCACTGGTGATGCTCTTTACACCAGCCGAGCCAATATTTCTCGGGAAAACGTCTCCGAGTGCCGTGACAAACTTGTGTCTGAAGTCGAGTCTTTGCTGAACAGAGTCTCGGATTGGGGGCGACTAATCTAGTCCAGTTTAACCCCCAGAAGACACAAGTTTGCGCGTTAACCGCTAAAAAGAACCCCTTTGTCGTATCTCCTCAGTTTCAAGGCACTCCCCTTGTTGCCTCAGCCAGTATCGGAATCCTCGGCATCGACATATCGAGTGACGTGCAGTTTCGTGGTCACTTGGAAGAGAAGGCCAAATTGGCCTCTAAAAAGCTTGGCGTGCTCAGCAGAGCGGGACAGTATTTCATGCCGGCACACCGACTACAAGTTTACAAGGCGCAGGTTCGGCCGCACATGGAATACTGTTCCCATCTCTGGGCTGGGGCTCCCCAGTACCTGCTCTTTCCACTTGACCGCATCCAGTGCAGAGCGGCTCGAATCGTCAACGACCGAGTACTTTCCGATCGGCTCGATTCACTAGCACTGCGAAGAGATGTTGCATCCCTTTGCATTTTCTTTCACATATACCATGGAGAGTGCTCTGAGAAATTGTTCGGATTAATTCCAGCCGCCAAATTTCGTGAACGCACTACGCGGCAAACGTCCCGATACCATCCACACCATCTGGATGCTTGGCGGTCCACCACTGTACGTTTCAAAAGGAGTTTTCTTCCGCGTACAACCTCTCTGTGGAATAGTTTACCACCGGCGATTTTTCCGGACCGATACAACCTGGGGACTCAAGAAAAGGTTCCCTTTCTAAAGGGCCGGCAACGCACCTGCAATTCCCCTGGTGTTGCGGTTGATCATGGGCGGCGGTGGTCACTTAACATCAGGTGACCCGCATGCTCATTTGCCCCATCTTCTACAAAAAAAAATGATAAACATACAATATATTGAAAAAATTACATGACCAATAGTTAGATTTATATTTTGACTCATTAACATTAAATTATATAATGTTACATGCAGTTATAACTAACCGTGTAGTGGTGGAGTAAAGACATCCACAACCCCATATCATCCCATGGGAGTCGTAAGAAGCACCAGAAGGAAACAAATCAAGAGATGGGCAGCAGCATCCTAATAACAACTGAAAATAAAAAAAACCGTAGTTGTCAACCAGTTTGCATGGCAACTATAGCACAACTGTATGTTGTACTAGGAGTTTTCTTCTTCTTACAATTTCTCTGTGAAATTGTTTACCACCGGACCGATACGACTTAGAGACCTTCAAGAAAAGAGCTTACTCCTTTCTAACAGGCCGACAATGTACCTGCAATTCCCCTGGTGTTTCAGTTGTTCATGGGCGTCGGTAGTCACTTACTATCAGGTGAGCCGCATGCTCATTTGCCCTCTCTTCCATAAATCCGCCCTATGAAGCAATCTGTGTGAGGCCTATGTTCAGCAGTGAACTTTAATAGGCTGTAACAGAAATGGCAATGTTAGTTATAATGCTACTTTGTTTGGTATCCCAACCATTTTAATAGAATTTCAAGCCTTGACCTAAATAATTGTCTGGGGAAAAAGTTTCTTCATATTTTGTTTGTATAAAATTGAAGAAAAATCTCTTTTTCTTCTTCTTTAATAACAATGCTTATAGGACATTAAAAAAAGAGTAACATTTCCTCGCCATTTTTCAATTGATTTTCTGTCCGTCAAAATGAGTGAATCTAACAAAGATATTATATATTTCGAAGTTTTATTACAAAACATGGAAAAATGCGACTAAGCCGCAAAAACTCTCTTACATGGTAGAGCCATGCTGTAGCTATATTACTAGTATAGTTGTAGCACAAATAGGACGGCTCCACCGGGGAAGGACCACACTCTCACAGAATATCAGCGTCTAGTAGGAGCTTCATGCTGCTGTGTTTCATTTCGTAAATGTAGAGAAGAACTGGACACCCATTTTACTGGAAACGAGGCATTCCATCTTAGTACTCAAAGGTAACAAACGCACATGTATTTTGATTTGTTATCAACAATAGGTAAGTTATTTATTTAAAGAAAAATTGGGATGTTTATGGGCCTAATGCAGTATCCAGATTGCCCACAGATTGACCACAAAACAGTTTTGACCCATTTGAAAAGTCTGGCTATACAAAAAAGCTTGATATTTGGGTACCACTAGCTCACTGAAATAAACCTAATGAATTTTGTACTCATTTGCAATTAATAAAGATATTAAAAGTTAATTTGCAACCATCTGCTCAATTAAATACAATGATGAGTCTTACCTAGATTGAACAGTACCTCCCGCCCTCCCTCAATTGAGTGCACTAATCCCGTCACCACTAACCCCAGTACCACTACTCCCGGCACCACTACTTGTACACCGCCAGCTAAATCACCTGAAGATGCCTAGTGTAGAGGTGAAAAACGTGTCGTATTATTGTCGATGGTGTGTCTTTCCTAGAATAGTGGTGTTGGGAGTAGTGGTGCTGGGATTAGTGGTGACGAGATTAGTGGACGCAATTGAGGGAGGGCGGGAGGTGCTCTTCAATCTAGGTAACACACATCGTTGTATTTAATTGAGCGGATGGTTGAAAATTAACTATTAATATCTTTATTATAATGTATTTCTTCAAAGTAATGCCTGATTCTATCAATTATCATTTGCAATTTTCTATTAAAACATAATGAACCATTTTTGAAAAGATTGATCACTGGTGATGAAAAGTGGATCACTTATGACAAATATGTGCAAAAAAGATCTTGGTCTAAGAGTAGAGTAAGAGTCAAGCTCCACAGATTGTAGTGAACCCTGGATTAACATGCAATAAGGTGATGCTGTGTGTATGTTGGTATTGGAAGTTTGTTTAGTTTGAGTTTTTACCGCAAAACAACTAATAAGACTTAAGCAAGAAATTGAGAAAAAAAATCCGGAATCAATCAATTGAAAAGGAGTGGTCTTTCATCATATTAATGCCAGACCACACATCTTTAATCTATCAGGCAATGGGCCGGCCATATAGCTTGAAGAACCGACAACCGTTGGGGAAAAAGGTTCTCGAGTGGCAGCATCGTACTGGTAGGCGAAGTGTAGGACGACCCCCCACTAGATGGAGTAACGACCTGGTAAGACATGCAGAAAGTCGATGGATGCAGGTAGCTCAGGACCATGCTTTGTGGCATTACTTGGGGAGGCCTATGTTCAGCAGTGGACTTGTGAAGGGCTGTAATGATGATGATGATAACACACATCTTTGGCCACTCACTAAAAATTGAGAGAACTTGGTTGGGAAGTGTTAATCCATCCACCTTATAGTCCTGACCTTGCATCCTCATATTTTTACCTGTTTCGGTCTCTTCAGAATTCTTTGGGTAGTATCAGGTTAACATCAAGAGAGGACTGTCAGCAACAGGATTATGTCACTACCTGGCAACAAGTTATCGAACAAAATGGCATGTATATATTATAATTGAATGTAATGAAACTGAAAAAAATATCTTGAATTTGCATTTAAAACATAAAGAAACTTTTTCACCGATCTTATATAGTTTTAATATTTATATTAAAATAATATATTTAATATTAATTCTTTACCTTTTAATTAAATCAACACCCTTTTGTTCAAGCAAATCAGGCTGTGAATCCATTAAAGAAGCTAATGTTTTAAAAATTTTAACAATAAAGTCCTCATCCTCTTTATTTTCTTTCTGTGTATAACTCCTAAGTTTCTCGTCTAGTAAGTCTATGAGTATCGAATAAGCACCATCTTTGCCTGCTCTTACTCTATGTGCAATATCTTTATTACATTCTGCCTGAAAACAATTTGATAAATTAAATAATTTTAATAGTACAATAGTCAGATATCGTAAGAGACGACAGAGGGATACTTGAACAAAATATGGGCAGCAACCTAACAATAAAATTATAAAAAAACTGTGGTTGTCAAGCTGTATGCCAAGCATAGCAACAATGACAAATATCCCACCTATGGGGCAATAAATGTGAGAGGCCTAAGTTCATAAGTGGAATTTTGATAAGCTATATAAAATATGATGATGAATTTTTTTTTATTAGTAGATGTATTAATTAACAGTACAGTATGAAAAATTCCATTTAAAACCAGGTTTATGTATTTTGTCACAATGTGCCAATTCGTTACTTGAAATTTAATCAGTTTTTTATTAGTGAGATTAGTCTTAAAAGTTAAATAACTGTTCTTTGTCAATTTGATACATTTATAATTTTTCACTAAGGTTTAAAGATTGACACAAATTAAGATTGGAATCCAACGGTAATATGATTAATTATAAAAAATGTTTTACCCTTAATACATCCAACTGCTCCAAAATGTCTTTGTCATCATGTTTGTCACTTTTACATAACTCGTTCAGTTTATTCACTGTTAAACTGATCAGATGTTTATCACCAGATTCAAGAGTCAAATCCTTAATTATGTTAGATAAATCTACACCCTGTTGAAACATTTAATAAGAAATTAGAATAGAATCAATATAAGCTATAAATAAGGTAGATTTTTAAAACATTAGCAAAGCAGTATTTTCTAGTAAATAAATAGGGAAAAAAATTATAGTATGTTTTTTTATTATTATTACATAATTATATTAGGTTTTGATGATTTTTCACTGCTGTCTGTATAAGGATGCATAAAGTTGCACAGAGAGCAGTGAAATAGAGCTATGTTCGGAGTTTCCCCGCATGACGGATAGTGATGATGATATCCACAGTATCAGCTGTGATCGTCCAGTTACCGACAAAGCCCTACTGACCAGTAAGATTAAGTGGCAATAGAATAGCCATATAACTTGACAATTTAACAACCGATAGTGGAGAAAGGTTCAATCTTGAACTTGAACAGAAAGCCATCCACTCTTCTTTCTGATTCAACAGAAAGCACAGTGGATAGCTTCCCGCTGAATGGAGCGAAAAGTTAGCTTTGGGAAATATGGAGTACACTGAGTCGAGGGTTACAGTAGATTGTACAGCTATATAGCTTGAAGAACAAACAACCGATGAAGGGGTAGCAGCTTTGTACCAGTAAGCAAATTGTAGAGTGGCACCCTAATAGATAGAACTGGAAATGGTAAGCCATGCAGAAAGTAGATATTTTGGGAAATTCTTGGAGGGCCTATTTGTGAAAGCTGCAATAAAGTAATCTAGTAAAAGTAAAGTAATAATGATATCTTCAAGAAAAAAATTGATCCAACGTGCCCCTCGGTATACCCAGGATAAGTTTTAGTAAATAATATCCTTCTCTAATTTATAATATCCTTTGGTTTAACATATAACGTAAATAGTTTACAAACCTGTGCTTCAAACTGCGCTACAGCTTCTTTTATTGCCTCCTCTGGACTCATGTCAAACTCTTCCATGTTCTCCTTCACAACTTCATCGTAAGTTTCTTGAGTGATTACACGAACCATTTTCAACATTTCAATTTTTATGGTTGTTTACATTCACAAAAACTGTACCAATTTTGAGAGAAAATTCATTAAATAAAAACAGCCGGCTACTATAACACAATGACCATTGACATTGATCATGATTGATCATAAACACCACAACACAAAAATAAAAAAACAATCATAAAATATAATGGTGGTTAATATAACGCATAGCGCCATATTATAGCGCGCTATCTCTTCATAACACATAGCGCGTGTTATGTAAGTAGTCGCCATGGCGCTATTGCGCTACCGCTATGGCGCTTTGGCGCTATTCATATCAAGCGCCAATTAGTAGTTTCTAGCAGCAGCGCTGTTGGGAGAGGATGTGTGACGCAAATTTGATCTCGTAGCGCGTTATTCATCGCGCACGACCTAATTTAATGTTAGACGTTGTTTAGTTTACGAAATAATGTTCTTATATAGCACGCGATCTATCCAATGAACGACATGTATAATGTAACGTGCTAAGAGTTATAACGTGCTGTAAAACTTAACGCGCTTACCGGCCTCCTAGTCAAAATAGGCATGTCGATCTAAAATCGATTAATCGAAAAATCGATTCTTTGGAGTAAAATAATCTTTTTTTTTTGATATCGATTCACTGAATCGATCCAAAAACCTCTCGAATCGGACTGAATTCATCCGATTCAAGAACTAGCGATAGAATTCCCAAACTGGCTGGGGTAAGACACAGTAGCAGTTTTTTAATTTTATGCTGTTGGGGGACGCAAAAACAACCGGTCGTACTTAGTTGATAATTTGAACGCAATATTTATTTGATAAAATAAATATTTATGAACGCATCCAACAATATCGAACAGTTGTAATTTCATTTTCATTTCTTAAATTCTAATTTTAATCTTGCCTGTGGAATATTGGTCTAACTTAATCTGTGCTGTGAACAAAGGCTACATATACATACTACAGTATAAAATTATAGCTGTGAACTTGTTTGAACTGTGAACTTGTGAATTTACTTTATTTATTATCAAAAACATACATATAAATAACCAGTATTGTGTTCGTGTAGCATTCATTTCAATTTGATAAATAGTGAGTTATTAGATTGAAACAGCTTTATCGAGAAATGTACGTTGCAGTTTGCACTTTTGTTAAAGTATTGTTGTTGTTTTTAGCCTAAAATGTCAAATAAAAGTGATACATGGAATCACTTCGTATAAAAGGGATTGAGTGGCGTATGTGCAAACCACTCCTAACACAAGCGTTTCTAGCTTACCAGGAGTGGTTAAAAGAATATTAGTAATGTTAATTAATAAGATTACTAATATTTTATTTTAAAAAAATATTAAAGTTCAATTAATGAAAAAATCGCAAATTCTTGAAATTTCACGTCTGAAAATGTCGCGATTAATCGATCTTTGATCTTTGATTTGATTAATTGATCTTTTAATCCTCGATTTAATCGATAATCGATTCTAGTATCGTCGATTCAAATCGATTCAGAGATCGATTTTTTTAAGAGTGAATCGACATGCCTATCACAAAATACGACAACAATCCAGAGCTACCAACAGTAAAAAATATTGTTTTACTCAATGAAAGAAACTATTTCAAGTTTATAAGTATTTAAAAAATCTTTATTATTATAAAAAACTAAATGTGTCTATATTATTACGACAATGTAACAAAGAGGTAAAGGTAATTTAGTTTACCCCTTCCCCCTTCAAATATTATGTCAGGAATATCCCGACTGGCATCGTTTTTTCGGCCTTGTATTTTATCTTTTGTCATGCGGCTTTACATTTTTTTGTGGGTTCAAAATTGACGCAGTTTCCAGTACGGGTTGAACCTTTTGCGCTCTCTGCAGCAAGAAGTGTGTCGTTCACTGTTTCCACAGTTAGCTGGTTACGTATCTGTGTCTTTATTAAAATGACTTTACCAAAAACCTGCTCACGGTCAGCATTCGCATGGGGTAGGGACATTGTAGAGAAGGCAAAATGAGCTAGCTCGGAAAACTCTTCAGTTTTCAGTAATTGAGACCAAAAGTTATCTGGCTCACTAATTTCATTCAAACCTTTAGGATGACGAGTTTGTGCATTTGGCAAACTCCTCCATTGATTGTCTAATATTTGTTTTTTTTGCATGATCAGCTGGTGCGATTATAGAGGGGAGCACTTCCATAAGAGGCATAAGTGTAGGAAAATCGCTTCTAAAATTGTAGAAGAGCGCCGATGCAAGCTCAAAAACTTGTAGCTTTGACAAGACAGGATCTTCCATGTTATATCGTCTTTTTAATTTCGGTGGCTGCAACTTTTTAGAAATTTTTGCAGCATGAGAAGAACTGTGCAATATCTGCAGGCTGTCTGATCACATCTGGATGTTTCAAGAGCCAATACACTTTGACACCAAGAAAAAGTGCAGCGTCATGGAGCTGATGTCGCTGACTTTCAGGGTTTATTTCACCAAGATTTGGTCTCATGACATATTTGTGTTGTAAATAACGCAATAGGATTTCCTGGTAGAGTGTACCAATTATTATAGATTGTGAACAACTACTTGCTCGCTTTGAAATTCCAGACTGAAATTATTGAATAAAGGGAGCGACCATTCAAGGAAACAGAAATAAACCTTGTAGAATGAGTTGCTGAGTTTTTCGAGAGTAAATACTGCTCGAATTTACGTACATCAGCTCTTGCTCTATCTGCACGATTTTTTGTAAAATCGATAAAAAAAAGACGTAGGGCTTCCCGTTGCTCTACTATCCTTTCAACCACTGGTAATTAGGAAAGCCCTCTTGTCTGTGATGGTTTCAGTATTTTGTGAGGCTCCACTGCAGCAAACGACTGCAACAATCACGCTCAGTGCTCCAAGCCTAGACTTATATATACTTGTTATACTCTTTGGTCTAGACCTTTGTAATAGTGGAGACGAACTGTCCACTATTAACAGACTCCGAGTGGTTTTCTTTAAGGTGGAGAAATGAAACTACTGTTTATGTTTATGAATGTACTGTCGAATGGGATTCGGAATGGAATATCTTTTGCATCAACCTTGTCTATATTTATATGGCTGGCTCACTATTGATTTGCCAATGGTAACAATTAATATTTTGCCTAGCCAATTATATTGCTTATTTTATGACCAATGAAAACTATTTAAAATATACAATTATCTACGTTTCGTTTCCCGGCGTGAGACTTGTTTGTTGTTCACGAAGCTACGTCGCTGGACCGGGCTATATAAGACATGCAGATCGGTGCGCACGCGTAGTCGGCGGGCGGCGGCGGTGTGGAATACAGCTCCGGAACAGCAAGAGGAAACGAACTGCGGCGTTGAAGAAACGGCTCACCATTGGTCGACGGATACGTGACGATAGCGGCGTGTGAAGTCGGTGTGGCGCTGAATGATATTTGCGGCTGCTTCTTGTTTCTTTATAAGAACGTCAAATTATCTATATACAGTCCGCAGTATCTCAGTAGCCAAGAATACTTAGGAAATAAAATGTTTTTTTTATTTATTCTCGCCTTCCGCGTTATGGTAGCAGCGGAGTCTATATTATTTATTCCCGTTTCGGTTTGATTAATCTGGCTGCTACATCACTCTCCCCCCAGCGAAAGCGTACCGGAGGCTTGACGACTCGCCCGTATTTCGTAGTTTTTAAAATAGGTTTCAACTGGGTTGATGTAGATGATGAAGTTTCAAGCTTCCTCGCTGGTGGTTTTGATGATGATGATGAATCCTCTGCAATATCCTCGTTAATAATATAGGCAGGCTTTAGTCGGTCGATCGATATAATCGTAGATTTCCTTCCGGGTATTTGTAGTTTAAAAGTCTTGCTATTTCTCTCTAATACTTTATACGGTCCATCGTAGGTAGGTTGAAATTGTTTTTTCATTGCGTCGTTTCTTACAAAAACTTGTTTGCATGTTTTCAAATCTTGGTGAATGAATACTGATTTATTATTTCTGTGTGATTGCATTTCGGTGCATTTCAACGATAAGGCTTTGTTAATTGATTCTCGAAGTTTAGTTACGAAATCGTAATCCATTTCTTGTTTGTTTGACGCTGCTGAACTGAAGAAGTCACACGGCAGCCTTATGCTGCAGCCGTAGGTTAGCTGAGCGGCGCTAAGACTAGTGTCTGCACGCGGTGTTGCTCGTAGTCCGAGTAGCACTGTAGGTAGCTCATCAATCCACTTTGTATGTTGAGATAAACGAGTTTTGAGTGCAGTCTTTAATGTACGATGCCATCGTTCGATTATTCCGTTTGACTGAGGATGGTATGCTGTTGTACGCGTCTTCTGTATTCCCATAGTTTGAAGAAGTTTGAGGAATAGGTTGCTTTCGAAATTCCTTCCTTGATCCGTTGTGATGGTTTTAGGTGATCCGAAACGAGTAATCCAATTTTCATAAATTATCTTCGCGACGGATTCGGCTGAAGTATCATCGGTAGGTATTGCTTCTGGCCATCTTGTTGTTCTGTCGATCATTGTTACGAGATAACGATGTCCTTGCGGTGAAGTAGGTAATGGTCCAATGATGTCAACGTGCAAGTGTTCGAATCTCTCCGTGGGTGGAAATGTAGCTAGACTACTTGATGTATGCCTTTGAACTTTGCATTTTTGGCATTGAATGCATTGCTTCGCCCAGTTGCCAACATCCGCTTGCATTGCAGGCCAAAAGAATTTTTCAGTGATGAGTTTTCTTGTTGTTCTAACACCTGGATGACTAATGTTGTGCAGTGTATTGAAGACTTCGCGACGACATTCTTCTGGTATGTATGGTCGCATGGTTGTCGTTGAGGCTTCACAGTATATAGGTAGATGCGTCATTGGCATTGTAACTTGCTTGATGGACAAGTTACCTTGCTTCGATAGATGTTTTATGTTGTCACTATCTCTGTCTTGTGCTGCGGCGATCTTATGATAGTCGATTGATGTAGGGCACGTTACACTGTCGATTGGTACGCGACTGAGTGCGTCGGCAACTATGTTGTCCTTTCCACTGATGTGACGTATGTCGGTCGTGAATTCACTTATGAAAATAAGTTGTCTTGCTCTTCGTGGTGTTTCCGATAGTGATGGTTTCTTTGGAAGTACATATGTTAATGGTTTGTGGTCGGTAAAAACGATCAGGTTTCGACCCTCGAACGTTTTTCTGAAGTGCTTGATAGCCATGTAAATAGCGAGTAGCTCTCGGTCGAATGTACTGTAGTTACGTTGAGTATCGGAGAACTTCTTCGAAAAATATCCAAGTGGTTGCCATTTCCCATTGCTGTATTGTTGGAGAACTGCTCCTGCTGAGAGATCGGATGCGTCGCTGAAGATAGCAAGGGTTGCTTCGTGTGATGGGTGAGCGAGTAAAGCTGCATTTTGGATCGCAATTTTACAAGCTTCAAATGCCTTCGTGGCTTCATCGTTCCATTCGATTGACGTTTTATCTTTTTTCTTCGTGTTGTGAAGGTAGGCGTGAAGTGGTGCTTGGATTTCAGCGGCTTTAGGTATGTGTTCTCTGTAAAAATTTATCATCCCAAGAAAACGCCTTAGCTCTTCGATAGTTTTAGGTTTTGCATAATCGATGATTGCTCTGACTTTTTCGGCAGGCGGTTTTATTCCTTCCTTGCTGACGGTGAAACCAAGAAATTGAACTTCTTGCTGTCCAAATATGCATTTCGAAGGGTTGATTGTGATTCCGTTGTCTTCTAATCGCTGTAGCACGGTGCGTAGATGGGTTTCGTGCGTTTCTTTATCAGGGCTTGCAACAAGGAGATCATCAATAAATGCGAAAACGAAATCCAGTCCATGAAGTACTTCGTGTATGAATCTTTGGAAAGTTTGACCTCCGTTCTTTAATCCTGGGATCATTCTTGGGAATTCGAATAATCCCATTGGGGTAATTATTGCTGTCTTCTCTATGTCTTCATCGCGGACTCTTATTTGTTGGTAAGCTCGGTTGAGATCGATGGTGGAGAATATAGTCTTGTCTGATAGTTGATGAGTGAAATCCCTGACTCGCGGTATTGGGTAGCGGTCAGGAGTGGTAATAGAATTCAGTCTTCAGTAATCTCCACAAACTCGTAATTCTCCGTTCTTCTTCGGTACAATGTGAAGTGGTGATGACCAAGGGCTTTTGCTTGGACGGCATATTCCTTGCTCAATCATGTTTTCGAATTCCTTTCGAACTTGCTCGTATAGGTGTGGTGCGATTGGACGTGCACGACAATGAAGTGGTGGTCCATTGGTGTCGATGAAATGCTCAACGTCGTTCTTCGGTGTTAATTTCATTGAAGTTATTCTTGTGATACCAGGGTATTCTTCGAGGATCTTGTGATACGGTTGTTGCACATCTATGCTTCTTATTGTGGGCAGATTGGTTGCTTGTACAAAAGACTGAGATGCAAGATTGGTTTTCCCGTCGATGATTCTTCTATTTTTGATGTCGACGACCAACTGGTGATGTTGAAGAAAATCAGCACCGATGATTGGTTTGCTGACTTTAGCGACGATAAATCTCCATTTGAATGGTCGGCGTAGATTAAAATCAAGTTCCATTGTTTTTTCTCCATATGTAGGAATAACCGTATTGTTTGCTGCATAGAGTTGAAAATCTAGTGGCTTCAACTTCTGTCCTTGCTTCGGCGGTAACACTGAGATATTTGCTCCGGTGTCGATAAGGAAAGTAAGCTTGCTTTTTTTATCGGTGACGAAAAGACGGTAGGACTTTGCTGTTACGCTGGATCCCGTCGCATCGAGCGTACTAGTTAGTTTTCCGTATTCGTATTTTCATTTTTGAATGTACACGGTGCTGTGCATTTTCTTGCCTCGACCCCGAAACGTCGATGATAGTAGCAGTAAGGGGATCTTGATGTTGAGCTTATTCGACTTCTACTTGCAGAGCGGTTGCGACGAAAAGGTGATCTTCGGTGTTGCTGATTGCGCTGGTTGTACTGTTGCTGGTAAAAGGTATGATGCTGGGAAGCTTTGAGCGCGGCGACTTCGAATGATAGCTTCCGAATTTCTTCGAGAAGAAACTGGGTATCATTGGCCTTTGTTGAAGTGCCTTCGATGATCGATATGTGTGAGCTACTGCTGTTTTCGATCATCTTGTCCGCCAGGAGTGCCAGTTCGTCGAGCTTCGTCTGCGTG